ATTTCTTCGTATTTTAATGACTGATCAATTTTTAATAGCATTATCGAAGATATTTTATCTTTCATATCACTTCTTCACGCTCCACAAATCCATTAATTGGTTTTAGGGACCAGAATTTTGGTGTCAGCATTTGGGGTTAATCACTTAATTGAGGTCCAATGATCGACTAAGCAGGTTAACTATTTTGTGGTTAACTGGAGAGTTTACATAGATAAATAGGTTGTAATTTGTGTGTTTGAATATATGGTACTTCGTTTACTTGCGTTCTCTACGTAGAGGTTAAAAAATAAAGACTTTACATTCTCGAAAAGTGGGGTTGTAAAGAATCCCCGAAGAGAAAATCTGCTCAAGGCGGGGAACGTAAAACGCGAACGTTTCTCTCGTCGAACGTTCGAGATCGTAAAGTTTTTAACATTCAAAAGCAACAGTCTAGCACCTGACATAAATTCTATCTCGCATTTGCATTTGTTAGCTTATATAAAAGTACGTTATAAATGGTCTATTCCGCATTTTTAAAACGTCTACTAAATCATTTACGAGGCGTTCGCGAAACGAGCGGAGATATCATCAGAAAAAGTCACTTTACATGCATAATCCGCGAGTTTGCTGTTCTTTTATGAGTTCGGGTAAATTCAGACGATCAATCTTTCGGCCGTAATTAAAAGTCCGGGCGTGTTGTTTAGATTAACAGCAACACGATCGTGCAGACGAAAAAGAATACGGAAAAATGCAAAGGGTTTTGCGAATCCACTTTAGACAATTGCAATTAATTTGAAGTCAATGATTAGGTCGTTTTATGTTATTGAAAATTTAGATTTTGTGATAAAATTAAAACCGGACGTGTTATTATCCAATTCTTTGACATTAATAAATAGTATTGTCAGTATATACAGAGTGGTCACTAAAAGTTAAGAATAAAACAAATACGTGTGGCAACATCACACATTCTTCCTCCAACAATTGTTGAAATATGATACAAAGAGTGCTGCAAGTGTTGGATTAATTTCAAGCTACCTGTTTAAAAGACGTCTTTGTAGTTATTATTGTATGCGTTGAGGTTAAAAATTAACACTTCCATAATATTTGAAAAATATTTTTGAGAGAACTGAAAAGTTATGATAATAGCATTAAGGGGACTTCGTTGGGTCAAATGCAGCGGCGTATATAATGCTCCACAAATTAATTAAAATTTCTTATTTTATATTCAAATTATAGTTTTGGTTAGTTTTGTAAGTTAGGTATGTAAAGGTGCTACTGAATGACTTAAGCTTCTTGCAGGAGCCAGCTCTCTGCTCTTTCTTCCTCAATGGGTTGATTAAACAGTAGCTTTCATGAGGTCGTGTTGAAATTTGATAAAAAATCTAGCTATTCTGGCGGGTAGCGGTTTAGCGCCGATATTGTCCGCTATTTTTCGAGGTCCGTTAATATTATGTTGTAACTGCATTGCAAATTTGAGTTTAACGGAATAAACGTCTTTATATAATCGAGAATCTAATATCGATTTATTTTTAAGTACGGCTTACTTATACAAAAGCAATTTCGCTGAATTTCGGTGTCGGCCATAGGCTCAGGTAATTAAATTTCATACTAATTTGATAAACAAGGAACTATTATATACAGGATTAGTCAATAGCCGCGCAACCGATGTATATCTAAGGCTGGTTCCAATAGTGACAAAGGCGACGTTGCCACATTTATGTTTTTCCCTAAGCCACCAAACTTTCTTATTTTTAAAGGTAAACGCTATATTTTATTGAATTTTTGGAACGTTCTTAAAATTCTAAATATTTTTCAAGTAACATATTTTTAATTCATCATCAGTTTGGCCTATAAGATATCGAGTGTTCCATTCAAAAAAACCAAACTTGATTTTTTTTAAGACGAAAATATCAAATGCGCTTTTCAGCTTTCCGACATTTCATAGGATATCCGAGATACGAGCGGGGCTCCAAAACTTCAAATTCTTTGGCTTGCCATTCTTATTACTTGCAAAACAAGCAAGAAAAATTGTTATGTTATGTTGATGTTTTTTAAATTTCTCGAAAAATTGTATGTTATATTAAACCGTTTTTCAGAATTTAAATAAAATGCTAAGGATCAGAAATATATTTTTTTTTACAAAAAAACGTTATTAAAATTTAAAATTAAATAATGTTTTGCTTTGTTTTATATTGATTTGCAATCTAAATTTACCAAATTTAATAAAAAATTTAGACCCATATTAATGTTATAATAAAGAAATATTCTGGTGGGTCGCGGCTTAGCCCCCATATTGTCCGCTATTTTTCGAGGCCCGTTTATATTATGTGGTGTACATATCAAAAACTGTAAGTACATATGTGCACTGCGAATTTGAGTTTAATGGAATAAACGTCTTTATTTACTCGAGATTCTCACTTATTCTTACTTTCCTCCCGCAATTGCAATTTCTGCCCGCGTGGAACACAAAAACCCTGTAAAAAATGCTATATGGATTTTACCAAGCAAGCATTGGTTGACATTAATAAATATAATAACAATTTTGTATAATTTAATTTTTGATTTTAACGAAGTAGTAAACCTAATCCCTTTTCGGTTTAGGCCACCTTTTCTTTAAATAACTTCGAAGATACAAATTGGCTGCTGGAACATCGTCCCAATATCAAAAAATAATTGGTGCAAATATTATGGGGCCTTTTTTAATCAATGGTAGTTTCATCGGTTACAAATATACCTTTTAAGAACGCAAGTTATTACACAATAAGCTTTGCTATATCCAAGTATCAGAAATAGCGAAACAAGGACGATTGAAGATATCCGCATATAATTTCAACATGATTCACAAAATGTAAGAGAGCAAGTTCCGGAATTAAATGTTTCCTAATCGTTGAATGGGACAAAGAGCGACTATCTACTAAATCCCCTAGATTTTTTTCTTTGGGGTCACCTCAAAACTAAAGTTTATAAAAAAAAAAAAACAAGCACCTTGGCTGCCTTAAAAGAACCAATAAGAGTCGAAATACTAGGTATAACACCGAATTAGGATAGTGTAAAGTAGCAGAAATATACCAGTTGGATCTAATATTAAAATGAGTATCTTTTTTCTTTGTTTTTAAATAATGATATTATTAAAAGCAGTAATATTTTGTTATTGTGTTCAGTTAAGGAGAAAAACTCGTTTATTAGGAAATAACTAATTAAAAGAAACCCAGCAATTTTGAACATTTAAGCATTTGAAACTTCGATGTTCAAAAAAACAATTTGAAATTACTTTTGCAAGCACTTAATTTTACACTGCTTCGAGTACTTTTTGGAGTGATGTATTGCCGAACATTGTTATTTAAAGGGGCTCTTAACGGTGTTTTACATGGAACATCAACATTTTTAGAACATCCTGGTTCGGTTAGCAGTTCTTGAGGAAGAATAGTGCTTCCTTTTCCATCCCTATTCGACAAGTTGTTCTGGAAGAAATACCATAAAACGTCGCGAATTATTAACAACATACTTACGACTCATTTTAAAAAGTAATTTTTTCAAAAACAGTTCCGTCTCGAAGGTGTCATTTTATTTAAATAAAAAAGTAATGTCCATCAGAGAATAGAAGTTTAATTCGCTCACTTTCAAACAGAAACAAATAGAAACACTATATTATTGAAACTGTCAAACTTTGTATAGGACGATTTTTGTTTAAACATTTCCACTTGCAGTATATCTTACGTTTGCGTTCAAACAAGGCACTATTACCAACATTATTTAATTTTAAATTTTAATAACGATTTTTTATACATTTTTTATATTTCTGATCATTAGCATTTTGTTTAAATTCTCGAAAATGGTTTAATATAACATCAACATGGTGTTTAAAATAGATACTTTCACGCCTAGTTCCAATAACAATTTTCCTTGCTTGTTTTGGAAGTAATAAGAATTGCAAGCCAAAGAATTTGAAGTTTTGGGGGCCCCTCGTATCTCGGGTATCCTATGAAATGTCGGAAAGTTCAAAAGCGCATTCGATATATTCGTGTTTTTAAAAAAAAGAAAGTTTGTTTTTTTTTAATGGAACACTCTACATCTGATAGGCCAAACTGATGATGAATTGTAAATATGTTACATGAAAAATACTTCGAATTTTAAAAACGTTCCAAAAATTAGGAAGTTTAATGACTTAGAGAAAAAAAAATGTGGCAACGTCGCATATGTCACTATTGGATCCAGCCGAATTAGGAACCCCCGTATACTAAATTTTATAAATAAATGGAAGTCCCAAGATATATGTCGGGTGCACGGCTATTGACTAATTCTGTATGTAATAATTCCTTGTTTATCAAAATATTTTAAATATTTTAAAATTCAGCGAAATCGTTTTTGTATAAGTAAGCCGTACTGTCAATGACAATAAAATGTCAATCAATGCTTGATAAAATCGGTATAAATATTTTTACAGGGTTGTAAGAATAAGTGAAATTCTCGAGTAAAAAAAGACGTTTATCCCGTTAAACTCAAATTTGCAATGAACATCTGCACTTACAGTTTTGGATACATACACCACATAATATTACCGGGCCTCGAAAAATGGCTGACAATATGGGGGCTAACCCGCGACCCAGCAGAATATTTCTTTATTTTAGCTTTAATATGGGTCTAGATTTTTTATCAAATTTGGTGAATTGGGATTGTTGAAATGGCCATTGCAAATCGATATAATAAATAAAAATAGTCTAAAATGAAGAAATATGTAAATCCTTACAAAAAATAAACCCAGTGGTTTTTTTTTTTAATATTCCGTCGGAATTTGTAGAAAATATTGTCTTGTCCTTTCAAAACTTAATTTTACCCGACGTAAATTATTAGTTTGCTTCAATTTATCCATTATTACCTTCGAGTATAGAACGCTGACCCTGTAAATAGAATGCGGACCCTTTCGAGATTTTGATAGACCGGTGGGTGTCCCGCTGTATTGGAAAATTCGCGTCCCTCCTTTAAGCGTATACGTAAACGATATTAACGTAGGTTGTTTTCAGTGCCCGCTTCGTTGAACGTTACGGAAGAAGAGGCCCTCGATCTAGTCGAAAACGAGCTTATCGTCACCTCGGGGGATGATAAAATCCCGGGACCTTTCGAAACAAGTAAGTTTTTCTTTTGCGCAGCTTTTTTCCCGGCGATTGCACACAGTACAGGCATTATTGTGTGCAGCATTCTGGAGAAACTCCGGATAATTTCAAATATTTCCACTGTCACACTTTTCCTGCTGCTGCTTGCCCCATCATTTTTGTTTTAAGAGCATACAAAAGTGGAGTTTGATAGTTGTATGTTGGAAATTCTACACATTTTTATGAAAGCTCATCAGGTACACAAAAGCAACTTATAATGTATAATTAAATTCTAGCCCATGTTTAGTTCGAGGTTTAGGTAACCCTATTTTGGGTCAATTTATATTATTATATTTATATACTATATAATATACAAATTTTGTGTCAATTCATACCTCTTTCCTAGTATAATGAGATCATAAACACCGAAAATGATATGAACAATGATACTATTTGAATGTGCAACTTTGGTGTAGTGTAGACGTGGTAATTGATAGAAATGTTAAGGTAATTTCAAGGAATTGGTGAAAAAAATAATGGTAATTAGTGGCACTATATTAACGATATTATGAAATTTGAGGATATTTTCGATACAGTTGAGGAAAATTTTGAGGTAATGAGTTAGAGCTCGACTTTTGTAAAAACATGTAAACTTTAACAATTTGATTTAATAGGTTACATTTTTTAGATTTTGACTCTTCAATTTCTGTTCTACCGAGTGTCCTTCGACTGTCCTGCTCTTGGTTCTACTTATATAATTACCTATATGATTTGTGTCTTTTTCTGACTATACTATCAAATCTTTTTTGAAAAAATGGTTTTTTTTAACATCACATCAATTGAATTTTGGCTGCTCGACTGTAAATTTGTTATCAAATTTGACCAAAGAATTGTTTAAATTGCTTGTCTTATGTTTCCTTATAGACTGTCTGTGGCAAAATCCTTTACCATATCTTGAATATTTTTCAAAATTTATATATATTTTTTAATTTTTTCCCTAGACATTTAGGTTAAAATGTAAAATATTTTAAAAGTTTTCTTTACTTAAAGGGCGTTATTTATTTAATGGAATCAGGGGTTATTGTAGGAAATTCGTTATAATTTAAATGGGAATTCTTAAGGTAATTAGCGGTAATTTCTGACAGAAGTGGTAATTTAGTATAGTGTAAATCGTCCTCGAATCACAGCAGCGACAAAATGGCGTTAGCGACGTTACAAAAGTTAGAATTAATGTTTGCGGTCACGTTCATCTGTTTTCGAATTAACAAGGCATGAAAACTTTTCTCATTGACCGATCGACTAAAAGTCAATACGCCGATCCGGCCTTTTTTTTTTTCACGGCCAACTTCGTAACGCATATTTTTGTTTCCGCCCCGCCCCATTTTCTTCCCTTTTAAACCGTTCGCGAAAAAAAAGTTTATTTTGCGCCCGCCAAATCCGGACGGTTCGTAATCGACATACGTCCGTTAATACCCGTCGGATTTATTAGCAAAGTTTTTTAATTTACAAGCGCAGAGGGGCGGAATGGAAAAAGTATGCCGGGTCCCGGTTAACAAATAATTAAAATTCGAAACAAACTCGGAAACGAACTGCGAGAATCCGGTATTCTTCGGTCCATTAACGCGAAAAACGACTTTCCATTTTTTTAGGCGACGGCGCCGCGTTCTTTTGTTTACTATGCGGAAGCGCCGCCGATCGCGGACAATCGGACTTGTTTTGAATAACCGCGGATTCATCTTTTCTGTGCGTCCCGTCGTATTAAAATTCTGACAGACACGCAACGGGTCAAATTCACCTGAAAGTATTTGAAAGGTCCCTAAAATTTTTCCCCCAATTTAACAACCCAATTTTAATCAAAGTGGCCTTGAAGTATCTACAGTCGACTCGACAGCATGTGTGGTGACTCATATTGATGTTGCAAACATTGTTTTTGCGTACGTGTAAACTTGTATAAACTGTAAAACCTTAACCACAAAAGATTTAGTTTTAATATTTGTAACCATTTTTATTATTTTATTTTTTATTATTTAGATTGTTATTTAATACATTGTCAATATTAGTATTTAATTGGGGCTTTTATACATGTACCGTGATTTCAATTTATATTGACAACATTTTAATTGGCTGTAATTTTTTTGTTTTTAGATAAATCAAGGTAAACAAAAAACAGCATGTAGAGTTAGTAGGCAAGTTTTTTTCCAAGTCATGTATAAAACAAAACGCTATCAATTTTCTGACATATAAGTCTACATCATATATTTATTAATGAAACACCCTGTATATTATATATGTGTTTAATTGAATAATTTGTTACAATGATGTAACATACTTAATATTTCAGTCCACCGGTTTTTGACAAATCGGAAAAAACAAGAAATTTTTAATAACTTCAAAAAGTGCCGTGACTGACGGCAACAACAATAATTATTTACAAATTAAAGTAGAACAAAAACACTAAAAATGACAAGACACACTAACGTAAAAAATTTCTCATACAATGAAATTGGGGGTAAATCTTCTTTATATTGTTCTATTTGGTGCGCCAAGAGTTCCAAATGATGACTTCGACTTAAATTTTGATCTATAAATACTGGACCCAAAATATGCCCATCTATGACACCACAACATACAACAATATGATTGGTATCCGTGGGTCTTTATTTCGTGTATTTGTCTAGGATTATTTAAAGACCAATATCGCGTATTTTGTCTATTTCAACCCTTTCTTGTAGTGAACGAACTTTCGTCAGTGCATAAAATGTTTTTCAAAAAATTGATATTCTGATTACGTCATTGTTCTGCATTTAGTTTTTGAGTTTTCCGAAATTTAAATGAAAACTGATCGCCGAGAAATACCTGTCTCTTCATATACTCTAGTAATAGAGGAAACTTTATGTGCTTCATAGAATCCTAGTATATTTGCCTTATTTTCTTTATTTCTTCCGGTATACCATTTTAGCCGTTAATAGGTTACCGTTTTCTACAAATTTCTTTGCCAGCCTTGGAAACATCTGTTTTGAAGGAGCTCGGCACTCTGGATAAAATCTAGTATGCTGACGGCGAGTTGCGGTTGCGCTTTCATTATTCAGAAAGTATACTTGAAGCATATCACTCCTTTCACGGATGCAAAATTCGCGAAAAACCATAATAACAATAATGGCTTGGACAAAAATTCAACTATCAAAGTTGTTTATTAATATGTCAAACATAAATATATTTTTATTTGTCTGTTAGGGCACTCTTTGCAATTATATAAAAAATTCCTATTTTTGCCGATTTGTCAAAAACGGGTGAATTAAATATAAAGTGTGTTACATCATTGTAATCAGAATAAGATATTCTATTAAACACATATATGATATAAAGGGTATTCCATTTAAAAATATATGATGTAGGCTTATATGTCAGAAAATTGATAGTGTTTTGGTTTATACATCACTTGGGAAAAAACTTGGGTACTAACCCTACATTTTGTTTTTTGCTTACCTTGATATCTCTAAAAACAAAAAAGTTAAAGCCAATTAAAATGTTATCAAGATAAATTGAACGCACGGTACATGCCATGCGATACGTCATCACGTAATCTGCATAAGACAAACCCATATAATAATAATACTGAAACCTACTTGCTACAAAACCGCTACCAAAGTCCATGTGATAATAAATATATCTATTGTATAAGGATTAAAGTAAATTATTTACATATTTTATTATATGTTTCACTTTGACTCATTTTAAAATAAATAGTGTTACGCTTGAACTAAACTTTTTGAAGTATAATACCAGGTAGACTGAACCCTCAATAATTTCATTTCAAATAAGTATTAACAAGTAGCTTAATAAACCAGAAAAGAAATAATATTTACAACTACAGAAGTATTCCAATATTGTGAAGTGAAATTTTTTTTTCTCCTAAATACTTAATTAACGTCTTTTCTATATTCTGAGGAAGATTTGGATCACAAATTTTTAGCATTTTTAGCTCCCTTCGAAAAACAACAAAGCACACAAGTAAAACTTTTCTTTTCATACTTAACTAATTTTATTTCTATTTTGGAACTTTCGCAATATTCTTGCACACACCCGGTATAAACTACAAAAATAAAAAACTGCCTTAGAACCAGCGACTTTCAGAGCCGAATGTTATCTCGAGCAAGATCATAGACGAAAGTTAAATTAATTACAGGGTGTGACTTAACTTACTTACCACAACAAAAGATATTTTTGTGTTTTTATGACTGACTGACACACCCTCTACAGTATCGAAAAATCGAATTTCGTTCATTTCCTAGTTTAAATTTTTTTCGGTTCGATTGAACACTATTTCAAAATTAAAAACAAATAATTTCAGAAGTATGGTCTCACCCAGTTTCAGCAAGTACTATTTTGGATTCAATTTATCTCCATGCCAATGATATTTCATTTAATAAAAAAGTCAACTTTTTTTTTTTTTGCATAAAACATAATATTCAAAAAAATGCCCCTTATAAAAGTTACGCGTCTGCACCTTGCACGTTTATTGTTTCAATTATTTTTTAAATGAAGCCTACGTTTTTCGAGAACAGAAACTGAAAGAAACAATTACAGCAACAGAAAGAAAAATTGTTATGTGTTTTTTAAAAATTTTGTTTCATCGATTTTGCGAAAATAACAATATAAGAATATGGTTTACCTCACCCGTAATTGAAGTGTCAGTTTTCTATAAGTTCAATATGAGTACGTACCAATATTTTTTGTTACTAACAGCTAACCAAAACGTCAGTAAATAATAAAATAAATCAACTGATATCGGATACAAATTTCAATAATTAGTTATAAAAAAGCAAACAGCTTTAAATTATTTTGTTCTATTTGTTGAACAACAAGAAAAAACTCATATACTCATCGTTAGATCGAGATGTCAAAACAAGGTGATCTCTATCACTTAATGCTCAAAATTTTCTTCAAGGCAATAAAAGGTAAATTAACTCTTTTAAACCCATAACACTCAATGTTTTGATCTTTAAGAATTTGCTATATTGAGTTACTACAATGTTGATGAGTATGGTTAGAGGTTAAACCTGATATACATTTAAATAGCGCTGGTACATTATTGCGAAAATAGGAGTCTAAAATGAATTACGGCCCAAAATAAATACTTGCGAAATACCAGTATCGATTTAGTAAAATTATTTCGAACTTCCATGTACTTAAAGTCAATTTACAACTATCTTTTCGTAGTTGCTGCTCGACAAGAAGGAGACGCTTATGTAGAAGTGATCATAGGAGTGCTGACGGCCATCATGCTACTACTGTTGATCGTGTTCGTCGTCATCTTAATCATAAACAAACGCCACAAGCTGCAGGGCTCACCGACGATCCTGAGAAACCCGTTCGGAATGAAAATCAACATGAAGGTTCGTAGTTGCCTGAAACATGACGCCTGTCTAAAACACACCTGTTGCAGGATCTCTTGATGAACTTCTCCACGAGTCAGCCGTCAGCGCCGAGCCGTCCTATAACGCCGATGAGTCACCACGACCCCACCATGGATCCCGTACCCATGACCTACGAGGAATATAGGTCGTCACTGGTCGGGAATTACTGCCCCCCAAATTATTCGACACTGAGGTAAGGCAAACCGGGGTTGGAAATATATCAAAATGTGTTACTGGTGGCTAGGAGCTTAATTTCGGCTAATTAAATAATAATACGACTTGTCGGTTTCTCTGTCTCAACTCGACTCGACTACAGGTTAATAAAATCATAAACAGGTTGATTTTCAAGTTGTAATGAGTGTCACGTAGGATTTAAGGTAGTGGCAGTACTACTGGTAATGTGAAAATGTCCTTAGCGTGCTACACAAAAGTTTTTGTTAATTTTTAATATGTTTTATCAATTCGATCGAACGATTTGTCGGATGCAGACTACCTCAAGTTTGGTCCCTCTATATTCCGTTTTCTAAATAAGTTTTGATAACCAACTATCAGGTGTTCTGCTAACATCGACGAACCCGACGAGGAGACGGACGAAGCGGCCCCCGAAGTGCCGCCGCTGCCTGACTCGCCGGATTTCCTCGAATCGCCGCCCAACCAGAGCAACGGGACACCTCTACACTACAGGAGTTTGCAGAGCACGCCTACGATGAGCCCGAAGTCGAAGATGATTAATCTGGGAAATTATTTTCCCAGAGCTCCCGTCGACCCGGCGGATAGAAAACGATATCACACCGCGCCGAGGGAAAAACACAGGGTGATAAATTACGCGAGCGTTTTTTTTTCTTGCCTGTTTTCTTCTCCACCGACGGCAGCCTGTTGGGCGCTTGTCGCCGTTCGTGAGCGTGATTATCAACTTTTATTTTTGTTTTTTGGATGGGCACAGGGGGTCATTAAGACTTGGCGGTTTTTTTCTCGCGTTTAAATTGATATTAAGCGACGGAAACGATTATTTTCAACAAGTTGAAGCTAAACAAGTCACTATGCGCAATTGAAAATTTATGTCGTCTAAAATAACAAAGTCACTAACTATTTACACGCTGCCCTTCGTTGTAGGCTCTACAAATAATTTATATAACCCCCATTTATATCAGTTGACTACATGACTATATGCCCGCGCTGCACGGTCTCACTTTTCGACTAACTGGCACTTCGCTGTTCCAGCGATGGGTGTCGAATATTCCACCGTTTTCTAGACAACGGCAAAGGTTTTAAACGTCAAAGAAGTTGAAAAATAAAGTTAAATATATAAACTAAAAAAAATGCAGCGAACTAAATTAGTTTAAAGTAAAATAAGTCCCTAGTATAAAAGCACAATAAATATAAGTATTAGAATTATTATCGATTGTGATTATTAATTTTTACTTTTTTATATTTACATTACACAATGTGGGGCCGAAAGGCCAGATCAGTAAAAAAAGGCAAATCCAAATATAAAACTAGCCGTTTGAGTTGGATTAAACAATATTTATTTTTTATTAATTCTACAAGACGCAAAAGTCTCGATGATGCCTCGTATAAAAATGCAATGCAAGCAATTTAATATCTCCAGTAGAACATGGTGTTTTACAGTAAGATGGGTTTAGCATTAAATTTGTTTAAAATCCAATGCGTTTTTTTCTTTGGTTCAAATTATATTATATCAAATGTATGTACACCGTGTGCCAAATAAAATGATCTGGAAACCCATAGGAGATCCGAAACAAAGGTTCGTACAAAAGTTTCTTGGACTCTCCTGAAGATTTAAAATATTATAATTTTGTTAATACGGGGTGTTCCAAAAGTGTCCCCACCGACATCAACTTCGTTATTTTAAATTTAAACACCCCATATATTTCGACATTTTTGGAATTCATTGTTAAAATACAAGAAATATGCTAAGTATGTAATTTATCTTATATTTAAATACTACGTACGTTTTGAGATATTTATTTTTATTGAGGTTCAATATAACACCCGTATAAGTTCTTGTTGAATTTAAAGCTACTCACATTATGTCACTTGTTGGCAACATTAGGTATATTTTCAATACTTCTTTTAAAGGTTAATACTCCAGATATAAGGATGAAACCTATTGCTAACAAAAAGTGTTTTCAGTTTATGATATTGGGGCGTAATAAAAAGTCAGTGATTTTTCAAAAAATAAGTCTCTCTTCCAAGTTAAACGCTAAGCTAGTTAGTAAAACGTATATATCCTTCAAGCAATAACCTAGGAAACTAGCCGGGATGTTTATCACCACATTGCAGCAGTTAGGCAAAACGTGTTAAATACTTAATTAATACATCAAACGGGCGACAAAAAACAAAGCCAAAAGAAAAAATCTATCTAGCTTGTATCTAAGACCGGCGCCGTTTGTCATAGGACTGCGGCGCTCTGAACAATAAGAACTCAGAAGCGGGATATTGGATTATTCAAAGGGACGGAAAACCCCGAAAGCTTGTTCCCCGTAATATTCCTCTTTTCTCCCGTCCAATAAATCAGCGAGCTGTTCTAATAAATTAAGTGGCATTAGCCGGGAGGAGTGAGAAATGAAATTTCAACTCTGCGAAATGTTAAGTAATGAAAAATACCGGATAATAATAAATTTCCCCCACCCCGCGCGCTCACAGGATAAAATGAGCGGCGACCTCGTTTTCGAGAGGGCGCTTTTTAAAGTGTAACTTCCCCGACATTTTCTTTGACTATAGGGTACAAGTTTAAACTCACTTTGGTTTCAATCTAGGTGTCGCCACCTATAGTCTGCTGGAATATCGTCCCCAGTATGGGCCACCCATACAACTGCAAGGAGGTCGAATTGGTTCCCATTTCGAGGTACTCGCTGAGGCCCGTCGAAAAGTTGGGCACTTGTCACGCCGGTGACGTAAGTAGTTTTTAATAATAATAATAGAATCAGTAATAATAACATAATTTATTTACGAAGATTAAAAAAACGCAGCATTCGTTGTGATAGATAAAATAAAAATCAATTATTTCAAGTATTTAAAATACTCAATGGAATGTCCATCTAGGTAGGAATTTTCTTGTCTTTAAAATTGATGATAATCATAAGAATAATAATAATAATAATAATAATTAACATCCATCATGCATCAGGCTGAGGCAATCCCGGCCTTTCTTACCACGCGCACCACATATCTCCTTCCGAAAACCTCCCCCCTACCCGCCCCACCCAACGGGGAACAGGAACCCCTGATCCGGCAAAATAGACCCATCACGTGCCTACAAACGCTGTATAAAACACTTACTACCATCATCTGCAATCAGACCTATAAACATCTAGATAGACATGCGTTACTACCTGGAGAGCAGAAAGGGTGCAGAAGAGGCAGACGATAATAGATGCAAAGAGCAATTGACCATAGATGCTATAGCCAGTGAGCAAGCTAGAAAAGTGGCAAAAAACTTATATGTAGCCTACATTGACTACAAAAAGGCATTTGATAGCTTGCCTCACTCGCTGAAGTCAGTCCAGAAATCACAAGCCTATTTATTCAACGCCTAATACTCCAGTAGAGAATGCGCCTCTTTCTGCAACGGAGTCAGGAATGGACGGAAGTGGAAGGAATACATATATAACGATGAATATTTCAAAGGGATGCGCTTTATGATACTGAATTGTACTAGCTCCACTCTCTAGAATGGTAAATAAACGTAAAGTAGGTTTCCAGATGCTACGCGCTTAGACATGCACCTTACGATGACCGTCTCAAAATACTTAGTCTGCCAACATTGTCGGCTGCAAGGGGATGTCATTCAAATATATAAGTTTGCGCCTGACCAATTTCCCTCTGACGTTCCCTTTGTGGTCTTAAGCAATGGTCTTAAGCAGTGGTCATCCATTTAAAATAATAAAGGAACAATTCGGGACTTCACATCGCCTTCAGGACTTTCAAATATTGGAACAGTTTATTCCCATATGTTGTGTGTGCGCCGAATTTTTCTATATTTAAACATCGCTTGGACTGTGTATTGCTTCACAGCAATAACTAAATATTTACTATATGTAACGGGTGATTCAATAAGAGTTTCTACATTACAATCTGAAATATTTTTGAAACGCCACTGTATTTGTTTATTATCATGTGAGATTTCTAACCTCAAAACATAAACAAAATTAGTCATGGAGCAATATACGAGTGAATAACGTGTAAAAATTGTGCAAGCCTATTCGCAACATTGACCTTCTGAGAGGACAATTTGGAATGTGGTTCAAAAATTTGAGCAAACTGGATCTGTAACTAACCTCAAAGTCCCTCAACGTGCTGGTGCAGGTCGGTCAGATCAAAATATTGCCATTGTTCGCGAAAGTGTAGCCAAGAAGATCCAAACACATCGATTTGTCATCGATCGCAGCAAGTGGGCCTTACGTAATCAACCACCAACAACAACCAATTTTAACAAAAGACTTGCATCTACACCCATATAGAGTCCAAATAACTCAGGAGTTGAGACCTCGAGATCATCAACAGCGCCGCGTATTTGCAGAATGGATACGAGAACAAGGGGTTCATTTTTCAACGAAAATCATCTTTAGCGATGAGGCACATTTTCACGTTGGTGGGTTTGTAAACAAACACAATGCTCGTATTTGGGGATTAGAAAATCCAAGAGAGATTGTTCAAAAAGCAATGCATCCTCAAAAAGTGACTGTTTGGTGCGCATTTTGGTGCGGAGGAATAATTGGCCCTTTTTTTCGAGGATAATGCGGAGAACGCTGTTACGGTTAATGGTGTTCGCTATCGAAACATGATATCTGATTTTTTCTGGGAGCAGTCGGAAGGTATGGACATTGAAGATTTGTGGTTTCCAACAGGATATAGCCACTTGTCAGACATCCAGAGAAACGATGCAATTGCTGGGGGGCAAGTTTCATGGTCGGATTATCTCACGTAACAGCGATATCAATTGGCAGCCGCGATCATGTGTCTTACTCCCCTAGATTTTTTGTTTGGGGGTATTTAAAAAGCAGAGTGTATAGAAATAAGCCAAAAACTATTCCAGACCTGAAACAGGATATTCGACGCGAAATAGAACCTGAATTGTGTCAAAAAGTGATGAATGACGTCATCTTTCATACCTAATTGTAATACACTACACTGGCAAATAAAAATGTTTGTATATTTTTATATTCTTCCGAGTTTTTTTATGATTTTAATGTGGAAACCCTTATTGAATCACCCTTTATAACATTCTCATGCTACTATCAATGTGCATAATAGGTTCTCCTCTGCACTTTATTCTTTGTAATAATAATAATAACAATAAAAATAATATAAGTATATTTTTTTCTCAGATTTGATAGTCGAAAGGACAAATAGGTGTTTGGTGTTTTAGTCTAAATCCCCGTGAAATTGCCAAATTCAACAAACCACCGCCCATGCGGTGGTTTGTTGAATGCGGTCAAAATATCTAGTCAAGACGTCTCCGCAATTTGAATAATTACAAAGTTTGAACTCGCGTCCATTTTCTATGTGACGAAAGACAATGTCCCGACCGTCTCCCGAGTTTATTAAGTCGAGTCCGGGACGCCGCACCGCTCGGGACATAAACTAAAACTTGCCGCCACCGACGTCGCGGGCCCCAAATAAATAATCAAATAAAGTAGCCGCCTTTCCGAACTACATAATCAAAATAAAGGCTATTATTCCCCCGGCGGTCCGGATTCCTCCAAACTCGGTAATAAGCGTCACAATAACTTTGGGGGGAAACTCCTTCGGAGCGAAAATATCAACCCGAGTCCGGGATTGCGGCCGGGCCGTGTAGTAAAATCGATATAAACTGCCAAGAATGTTGTATATTGTTAGGAAAGTTAAGGGGTCCAGTGAGTTTTCGGCTATCCGCACGACAAGGAATGCATAATCTGTTAAATTCGTTGTTTCGGATGACGTAGCATTAACGGGTTACAGTTCGGGATCGCGAGGATAGGTGAGGAAGTGCTGAAAAGCTTACAAGGTTCGTTCCTGCTAAATCCCTTCTCGAGCCTTTGTTCCATCTTTGCCTCCAGTTTTCCAAATTTTCGCAAGAGATGGGTGTCGAGGCCCGAAAAGTTGTGTTACCCTGATCAGGAAGAAGAAGAATCTTTTGACTCTTATATTTGGTTAGTTTTGTTTAGCTTCTTAATCTCCCGCTGGAAATACTTCATTTAAACAGCATGTGCATTACGAGGGGCAATATGTGAAGTAAACCATCAGCTCCTATTTGCCAAAATAGAACTCCATCTCAATCACATAATATCAACAAGATTAATAGAAAGAAACATAGATGAAATTTTCCAAGGAACCCAGGCGTTCATGACTACATCAATAGAAAATACAACACTCAAAGAATTATTTTAAGGTTGCAAGCAACTGCAAGATAAGATTTCACCACCGGAAGGGCATACATACAGAAGAGGAGAAAAAGGAACTAACATACCTGAACAAGGCAATAAAGCAAGGAGCAAAAAGAAACAAACAACAATTTTTCTGTGATATATGCAAATAAATCAGGGGACACTGTCTAAGTAACCAACCAGGAGACCTCTTCAAAAGAATAAAATTGGGCAATCGAAGATCAAAAAGGAACTCTGAGAAAAAACCAGGAGATCATATTACGAAGAATTATACAGGACAGCGCAAAATATAACCATGTCGACCACCACGAAAGTTCAGCGAAAGAACCGGTCATCCTTAAAAGTGACGTCGAATTGACCATAAACAAATTAAAATACCATGAAGCACCAGGTTCTGACCTAATGACGGCAGAAATAATGAACGTGGATTAAAAACACTTTCTCTGATCTGTAATAAAATATGGTCACACTTCACAAGAAAGGAAGCATACATAAGTACAGCAACTATCGTACAATTTCTCTCCTCTTACATGCTAGTAAAGTAATGTTGCAAATTATAAATGAAAGACTGAAAGCTTTTCTAGAAGGAGAAATTCCAGCAGAACAAGAAGCTTTCGCCGTGCCAGTGGCACTCGTGAACATCTGAATATGCGCCAAGTCATAGAGAAAGCAAGGGAATTCAATTTGTTTCGTAGACAATAAAAAAGCTTTCGATATGGCGTCACCTGTGCAAAAATCTTAAAGGAAGTGAGGGTAAAGCAACAAATTACTTCACTTATCATCCAGTTGTATCAGCACACTACAGGATCAGTTTCAAAGGAATTTTACCTTAAATAAGGAGTTTGCCGGGGGTGTATATTGACTCCTCAACTATTTAACATGTTCGGTGAATATGTCATGAGAACGTCGCTAGAAACATGAGAAGAAGACATTTCAATAAATGGCCAAAAAATAATGTACGCTTTGCAGATGATACTGCACTACTCGGTAACAGTCAAGAAGAGTTAATCAATTTAGTAAATACGGTAGAAAACGAAAGCAATCAGCTAAACCATATTAATCGCTTTGAAGTCGTGAACTCAAACGTATACCTCAAATCACAATTGACAAATACATCCACATTGGAAGAAAAAGTGAAGCGTAGGTGCAACATGACGGCTGTTGGGAGACCGGCTAGTCAACGGTCTGGTTCACTCAATATTGACGTATGGCTGCGAATTGTGAACTCTCAGACAGGCGGAACGTAGGAAGATCGATGCTACCAAGGTGTTTTGTTCTAGACGTATGCTCCGAATCCCACTGACTATTGGAAAGGAACTTAATATTGCCAACAAGCTTTTTAGTAAAATGCGACTAAAACAACTAAAATATATTGGGAAAAATCCGGACCATATGGGAAGGCTCATAATTCTGAGCAAGGTGGAGGGACGTACACCACGTGGCCGCTCTTGGACTCGATCGATAGACCAGATTACGACTAGCTGTAGCACGATGTCATCGAGATGACAAAAGACAGGAGCGCGTGGAGAAAAAATCATCCATGATGTTACGCTGACCACCACACTCCCTAATGGGGATCAGGACTGAAGAGATAGAGAATGTCAAGAGTCATTCTATAAAGCAAACTAAAACTTAATACGCATCAGCATCTTGAAGCGCCTAATATTAATAACTACAGGGCTGCGCTTAGTTTTGTCATTGCATTACATTCTATTTATTTGATGATAAGGACTACCATGAATGTTTGAAATCGCTTCAAATAATCTGCAGCTGCGTGCGATCCACTTTTTAAACGATCACCACTACTTTAGATCATATGATAATGTTATTTGCATTAACGTTTTCGCCATTATTGATTAATTGGAGGTCACCTTTTACAGATATCGCTTTATGAAACGGAGGATCTGGATGACGCAACATCAGGGGTTTCCCGACTGGTAGCAGTGAGAACTTCCAATCCAGAGAGGCTTAAAGGGGACTCTATCGAAGGTTTAAGAGAAGCTAGCTTCCTAGCAGGTTTGAACGATACCAACATATGTAAAGTCCTGGGGGTTTGTACGACAGAACAGCCTCCATGGACAGTGATAGAGTACGGAGAGATGGGGGACCTTTGCCAGTACCTGCAGTTCCTGGTAAACAGGAACGGGAGTATCAGACCTGCGGAGGGCCATCCTATCAGGTAAAGAGGGTTATCAAATGTTTGCTATGAATCTCGTTATAATATGACCAAAAATGTAGTGCATTGATTGGTTTGAAGTATTTTACAGTACCTTAACCGCAGACATTCGCAGGACCGTGGTAAAACCCATCCCAACAGATGTTTATTCCGCATTAAGTAGGTCTTGCCTGAGATGGACCGTAACGAATATTTGTACAAACTTGAAATTTTTATTTGAAACGTAAATGCACCGTTTTAAATTTCATTAAACATTGATGCTGAGGGGTATTTTTATTTTTTTATTTTAACATCGGGTGAGGGGAGGCTGTATTCACTGAATAGTTTTGGTTAGGGTAAGGGTTAGTACCTGTACTCTATTTATCTTACAGGTAAGTTTGAAAATAATCATTTTTGTCTTGTGTGCCTGTCGACTAACAACAGTCTTCTTATACTTTTGCGTCTTCTACATAGTTCTTCGATTTGTAAACAGCAACAGTCTTTTTGAAGACTGTATATTATATTCGCGGTAGATAAAGGTACGTCATAAGAATATAGATCAATATTTATTTGAATCTTACAATTAAACATTTTTTGAAAGTTCGTGTTTTTTAACACTTTAAAATGTGGAGATCGTGGAATGAAGCAGATGTTCTCCTGTTTGCAGAAGACATGGAAAACAACGCAAAATTCGAAAACGAAGTGGAGGTTGTTGCGGTCTTCAGATACTGTTGTGCGGTTCGTGAAAACACATAATAAAATCTCTTGGAATTCTGGCGCAAAATAAACACGTATATTTGAGAAACCAAGGATACACTTGAGAGGAGTAGTATTGGAAACCAAACGCTGCCCCACGACAAACAATCAAAACAAAAATAAACACTCCTTGAGTCGGATTCAAAAACGATGAGCCGACCTCGTAACTCCATACTACCTGTCCGTTTCCAGCGCTACCGTTTTAACCCCCACCCCCACCCCCCTCGCACAGTTCCAGGAACTTACATCGACTATTGCGGGCGCACTACAAGGTGGTAGTCGAACCTAATGACAATTTAGAGGACGAACTACCTCAGCAAATAAAAAAAACGGATTCATTTGCCTTCACATGTAATGTTTTAGAAGAAATTCGGAAGGGGAAGTAGGAGCAACAATAAAAACAAGTGACATGACCAAAGTTTCGAAGTCAACTGTAAGAAACATTGTTGCAAATGGGACAGTCAAGAGGAAACTGAAAGAAGATGGTGGAACTTCACAAGTTTTAAAAGAGCAACACGCAGATCTAATTAGACGTATAATCTATGACCCTTATAAAGTGAATTGTGTTTTAATTCTAGAGGAACTGCATAAAAAAGTGCTGACAGATTTAAACATTAGTTTTGCCAAAGAAATTTTTAGTTCCGCGGAAATATTAGAGGACTGGTTTGAAAATAAACTTTTGTCAAGGTTATCGCCAAATACTGTTGTGTTGGATAATGCCTCGTATCATTCAGCTCAAATTAGAAAAATTCCGAATACTTCTTCCAATAAAGAAGAAATTAAAGAATTTCTGTACGAAAATGATTTATATTTTTAAGAGAGCTACACGAAAAAACAACTTCAGGAATTATTAAAAATAAAATATTTTAATAAAGACTACAAAATCGATTCGATAGCACAACAAAACGGACATAACATCTTGAGATTAAATCATTATCATTGTATATTTGCCAAATTGAGATGATTTGGTCTGAGTTGATAGCTCATATAAGAAGAAATGACACTGCACCAAAATTTAGTGATGGTACCATAAACATACTTCGGCGTAATTAGTTTCAGAATTGATCATTGAACTAGGTGACGACAGTAGCGATAGTGACGATTTTTTAAGTGACTGAAACTTTATTATTATTATATTTAATATTTTGTATATTAATAATCATACTATGTAGAAAAGTAATTAAATATATAGTAACAAATTGTTATTTTGTACAATTTTTTTATGTACAACATTGAAAACATTCTTATATGCCGCTTGTCAGTGTAGTTAGATAAATTCCTAGGACGGTCCTGGAATGGTTACGGCTAAGGGTCTTCTCGTCAGGGTGTTCTATAAGGGGTTGCGAGTTTGGAGTAATAAAGAGTAGGCAAAGTTAATCGCGGGGTCGGTTGTAAAAGCACTATATTTCCGGTCGAAGTATAATTCATCTTGAATACCATGACGTATTTGTTGAGGTTGAGTTTCAGGTGAGGAAGGGAAGTATACTCTTATGAAATGTTCGATGTCTATTAACTTTTTGCGTTGATATAAGGACATTCATAAGCAGAAAGTAAAAATTTAAGTCTCCGGTTATTACCGTTTCATGCCAAAAGCGTGTCTACTATGGCGACGAAATCACAGATACATTTCACGCTTTTCGTTAAAAAGCAGTTTGTTATAGGCAATCGTTTAATTAATCTCTTTTACTAATTAATAGACTAAATGCGATACAATGCTCCATCCTCTAAAGTAAATTTCGCACGTCAATCTATCGAACCAAGACCGCTTTTTGCATACCTCGCGTTTTTCACCAATTAATAGTATCAATGTCCATCGTATAGTAGTTTTTGCTTTGCCTATCGTTTTCGCGGAATTCAATTTAAAACTACCATCTATCCCCACCGCCGGCGTTCCCATTTGAAGCTGCCATTTATCTTTGTTCCATTCGCCGCGGATCCATAGATTCCCCGTGAACTAGATTCAGCGATTTCGAATCGTTGTTGTCTTTGGCTCCCGATCCGATTTTCTTCACAGACCAGATAATAACCCAATTAAACGTCATTGTCGTGGACGGCTTTTGTTTGTCGCCGATATATCGGGCGGTCTATTGAACGGTAATGACGTTTTTGAACTTGGCCGATCGTCTAAATTAATTTTAAAATGGAATTCGATCACTTCCGGCCGCTAACCACGCTCCCTTTTGCGGTCGCTTTTGATGTTTGCGCGACGCGAAATTGAAGTACCCTTTTGTTGTCGCGACATCTTACCTGTACGTTCCCGTTTTCGCGATGGATTAAGCTTTTTCGAATCGGAAACGCTTTTAGCGTCAATATATGTATTGAAATAGCAATTCACAACTTTAAAATCGTGACTCTATAAACAGTGAACTTCATCTATCGAACTGAAATTCTTTGTATGAAATAAATTTTAGGTAGTTAGTTAGACGCAGGGGATTGCTTTCTTTGTCACACACTAATTGCACAAATATCAGATTGTTTAGGTAGGTTAGTGCCCTTTTTTACCCGTTTGAAGTTTTCGAGGGTCATCATTCATTCATTTCTTGGCGGGTACTTTATGAACTAATTTGATTTGTTTATAGTACTGTAGTACCAGTGTTATTTCAAAAATGAATTAAAATACCAATGTAATTTTGATTTCTTTTAAAAAGCAAACATTTTGTATTTATGTTTTGTATTTTCCTTTCAAATTTCTCTGTCGGTTTATGTCAAATAACCCACATTTTACCCCAAATATATGGGTAACTGGCACAATACATTTTGTTGTCAAATACATACAAGAGATGGTGTCCGAACTTAGAACTTTTTAGAAAAACCGGCAAAGAAATCTTTCCGGTTTTTACTAGATAAAAAAAAACATGATAATATAAATTTTTAAATTTATTTATAATTTATATTATAGAAGTCATTAAAAAAACTGTTTTATGATGTCTGATAACTTTTGTTAAACGATGTACACCGTGTGCCAAATAAAACGATCCACTATACGATCTGGAAATCCGTAGGAGATACGAAAAAAAGTTTCATAAAAAAGTTTCTTGGACTAGTCAGAAGATTTAAAATATTTTAATTTTGGTGATACAGGGTGTCCCAAAAGTGCCCCCCCCCCCCCCGACAACAACAACCTTTGTTAAAATAAACGTCACTTTCTTAAAAGATTCCTATTCAAATTTCGCATAGTTTAGGCAGAAATTTAAGTTTTTCATATTTTGATTGCCCCATATAAAATTGTGTTGTGAAGCTACTGATACAGACAGATGCGCTTTAGCTTATACAGCCTGTCCCAAATAGGTGAGGCCGTTTTGGCGAATTTAATTAACAAAATCTTAAGATTTTCCAATGGAACACACTATATTTTTATTCAGATATCAATTCTAGAATAAAAAATAAGTAGAACACTTTTGAGATACCCTGTATAAACAAAATTATAATATTTTAAATCTTCAGGATGCGCCAACAACAAAACGGAAAAAGATGCTCTTTAAGCCCCTCTTGGTCCCCGCTACTTTGCCATTTTTGTTTTATTATATATTAATATAGCTATATATTTGTTCGTCGCACTTATTGTCAAAAATCTGATTTTGAACTTGATGCGATCATTTAATTGAACCGAGAATCATCGTTAATGCATTTTCTATAACGTTCTCAATAAGCCTCTATTACAGTTCAAGGACAAAACAACCAAAAACAAAAAAATAACAACAAACAGACAAAAGCACATGTGACAAAATTCAAAATGGCACTAATCGTTAAAACGGCCCCAAGTACCGCTTCGCGGAAGGTATCCCAAAAAAATCCACTCTGATTGTCTAAGTTTCTCATATATTTTGGATGGTATGTGAAATGACATACGCTACCACAACTTGATTTGGCTCGCAAACCTAAGAATATATTTACTTTGAAAAATTAAAATGTTATCTGAGTCGTTTCAAATGTTTATGAATTAATCTAAAATAATATTTATATTTACATTAAAAAGTTTCTCGAATATACCCGTTCATTTTTCTTTTCCTTTAAAGTTTTCTTACTAATTTTCCGGTTATCGCTGATTCCGCATTAACCAATACCCAATATTAGACTACTTTTTGGAGGAAATCACCAGTCACTTAATAAAAGTTGCGTAACAAGATCGCACCAACAGATACGAAACAAATCAAAACTTCGAGCTCCGCACGTCGGCAAAGTTATATTTCTCAATTTTCTCAGCCGGTTCCTGTCAAAACAAACCGATTTCGCGGCACCGCCGAAATAAGAAGGAAACTCGCTGCTCCGTTGTCTATAATTCTGTCAATTATGTTGTGGGGATTTCCCCGGAAAACTCAATAATGTTCGCTCGGACCGCAGTGTCCTAATAAACGACGCCATCATTGCCGTCCCTTTTTCCCGAGGGCTACCACTTTTAATTAATATATAAGGCTTTTCGGACGTGCCTCCTGACATACATTATTACTTATGGTTATCATTGTTTACTTTATATTTTGATTGACGGTTTCACGTTGTGACCCAGTTTTGTAGTACAACTGAATTTATTTTGTTTAATACTTTGCATGCTGATTGGATTTACAAAAGTTCCTCGCAAACCAGGGCAGCCTAAAAATTTTTATCGCTAACTATCAGTTATTATTAATAAACAATTAGTTCTTGAAATATTAACGTATTAGCGTATCGTAGAGGTAATTAGTTATTTACGTGACATTAATGCAAAGAATTCGAAGTAGTTATAGTACCCACTTTTTACGTCCTCAGCCGATGTCCCCGGAAGAAAGACGCTGTTTATATTTAAAAAAAAAAATGAAAAAGACATAAAAAAAACATAGATGAAACTTGCCATGTCATTAAAAAATAACAAAATTCAAACGTTCGATAAATTTTCGGTACTGTTGATAATTTCACTTCTTTACAGCGCAGGGAGTCTGGTGTACATGGCGACCCAAATCGCTTCGGGGATGAAATACTTGGAGTCCAAACACGTCGTCCACAAAGACCTAGCGGCAAGGTAAGAATTTTAGGTTATTTAATCGTTATCCCGACTCGACGTACAAGCGCTTATCCCCAGATTCTTTTACGGACGTCCCGGGAAAGGGGAACAATATCAGTAAAGTTTTCGTAATAATCTACATGTTTGGGTAATTCTTAATTTAAAATTTTAAGCGCGTAACGATCCTTTTCCAAATACTTATGATTTTCTGGAAGTAATATACACTGAGGTTGGGATTTCATTAATTTTATCAGTTTAAAACAGTCCTTATTAATAATTTAACGTTTTTATTATTCCTTTAATGTTTTTTAAACTTTTTTTTAAACGCTAACTTTTTTGGATATTTATATTTCGATATTTTTTTTTTTAGAAATTGTCTCGTTGGGCGTGGATATGTCGTAAAAATCGCCGACATGGCGATGTGTAAGTTGCAATACAGGAAAGACTACGCCGAAATAGGAGGACGACCTCCAGCACCCATCAGGTGGCTTCCATGGGAGAGTATACTGCTTGTAAGTAAAAAAATAACCATTTATATATATATATATATATATATATATATATATATATATATATATATATATATATATATATATATATATATATATATATATATATATATATATATATATATATATATATATATATATATATATATATATATATATATATATATATATATATATATATATATATATATATATATATATATATATATATATATATATATATATATATATATATATATATATATATATATATATATATATATATATATATACTATATATATATATGTATATATATATATATATATATATGTATATATATATATATATATATATATATATATATATATATATATATATATATATATATATATATATATATATATATATATATATATATATATATATATATATATATATATATATATATATATATATATATATATATATATATATATATATGTATATATATATATATATATATATATATATATATATATATATATATATATATATATATATATATATATATATATATATATATATATAAAATGTGCCCCATTCCTAACCAAACGGCAGTGACGGATCCGGGGTAACAAAATCTACCAAAGTACAAAAATAATGAAACTCTACAAATTTTGATTTCACCTCCTTTAAGTGGGAGTTTTACAAAACTAATAAAATATTCTCCGAAATCTTACTTACTTTCTATTTCTTTAATGTACAAATTAATTTACTAATATTATACATGTCAGAAATTGCAAAATAAATAAAAATAGAAATGGGAACAGGGGTTGATGGCCAACGAGGCGATATAGGGTTAGACTTCTCGGACATATTAAAAGAATACACAACAATGACTTAACCACAAATTGATGATCTAATCACTTAATTGATTATTATAGATAATTCGACTATCCGCGATCCGCCAAAAACTACAAAATAACCAATCAAAAGTAAACTATCGGACCTACACTAAATCCGACTTAACCAGTGCTTCTATAAAGTCATACTATATTCGCCAGATGGCGTTCCGTTCACTTCGGAAAAATATCAAAGTGGGTTCACAATATTACGAATGACAAAATTATAACTGTTTAGGCCAGACCGATAAATAACACGATTCTAAAATAAACAGTCCATAACACCCAAAACGAATTAAGGGAGAGTATCGACTACTAATATACTACTACTACTACTACACTGATATACATATACTTCTTTATACTTACTCGATTTATCTCATTAAATAATTACCTTAATATTTCAGCTCACACTCTTGTGTTCATTTGAATTTTGCATTAATTTCTTTTATGGCAAATGATTTTTTCAAATGCCTTTTAATTCATTATCTGAGTGGAATTGAATTTTTGATTTTAATTTAATTGAATTTTAATTGAACATCATTAATATCAATTTCGTAAACCGTCAGTTAAGTATTAAATATAACACTGCACTTAGCGAGGCTTCAGTAATTTTAAATACTTAGTACTTCGCTCAGTTTTTGTGCACTAGCCGATTTTTAATACTTTAATAATAAGTACGAAAACAGATTTCGTTATTAGTTTATTTAATGTTTGTTAAATACAAATTATAAATATTTCTTGAAAGCTAGGACAGCATGAAAATATTTATGACCAATTGTTAGTTACTATTTTTGCATTATGTTATATTAGAATATTAGGTCGTTATTCACGCTACAAATGAAGAAGCGGTATTTTAGGTAGTGATAATATCTAATTTCTACATCCTCCGTCTCCCGCAGGTTACATAGAAATTAGGTATTGCAACTGCAATTCTTGCTCTTGCTTGCTCTTTCAGTCGGCCCTTTTTTAGAGATTAACAAAAATCCTTCTCGATTAATATAAACGGCGTAGGTGTACTTATTTGTATTTCGCTTTCGCGCCGTTCAAATACGTCTAAAACCTTTTTTATCCAAACAAAACACGATAAAAAGTCTTATTTCTTCGGAATCGCAGCCATTATTAAGATTAAAAATTTCAATTCTATCGCAGACCTCTTCGACTCTGATTATAAGTGCTTCCAGCTTTCCCAAGTTTCGTCGGCAATAAAATACATCTAATTTTCTTTTCTTTTTTTGTATAGTTATCGATTTTATTTCTTCAAACATTTTAAAAATTCATAATCAGACCTGGGGTTATTAATTACATCTGTTTATGTTTATTATACTCTGTTTTTAATGAAACATGAGTGCGCAGTAATTTTTCATCTCGATTGGACAGTATTTCAACGGTATTTTGCAAAATAAGCTCCAATAAATTTTTAAGGAGAAAGACGTGTGTGTTTTGAAAAAAATGACGCAAGACGCAGGTTAGTAAGTACAGTTTAAAGGCATGCATGAAAGATCGTTCCTTTCCGTAGAAAAACGACATATCCGCCTGCAGCGCACCCATTTTAATTTATTTGTATGATCTAATGTATAGGTGGATATGCTGAACGTATGTGCTGCTGCTGAACAAAAATAGGTCAAAAATCGCCGCGAGTGTTATAATATCCCGCGAAATGCGCATCGAATCGGTAAACATCATATCTCGCGCCTTAAGCGAATATTTCAAAGGCCACCACAGTATACGTATGCTGTTCGGCTTTTGCGAGATGAAAAAGATTCGACGGCGATGGCACTAGAGCGACCATATTTTCATTTCCGATGTTAAATTTTATGAGCCGGCGTTTTTTTTTCTTCTTCTCTCTATTGCCCGCATATACCTACTTTAAACGAAGCGAATAGCTTTTGTACTGTATTGGACGAAGGCGGTTTATTCTGAGCTTTGCTTTTTTCGCGATCTCGCCCTCGTCCCCGCTGTGCCACAGGTAAATCGAACGCTACGCTTTATACTAGCGAGGAGTAAAAGAGAACATAATTTGAAAAGTTCTCGACCCGGGGAAAATTTTTTGCAATTACTGGAGAGTTCGTCTCCATAACGTTATTTTCTGCACACTCAACTTGTTTTTACCTTGACTATTAATTTCTTCGTAAAAATGTTACATCGAAACTGAAACCTATCCAATTGACGAACTGTCAGCGGCCATGTTACTTGATCTTATTGGTTGAAAGCGAAATTTCAAATTACATCTCTTAGTCGCGGTGGGTTCAAAGGTTTCTGTATTCTATCATTAGCAAGGCCTCTACATATCTATATCTATATATACACAATACACACGCTTCTCTAGTATTAGTTTCTTTATTAACCACCCTACGCTTACATTAAGTGTAATGGTGGCTATTCTTCTTTTGTAAATTGGCCCATCACTGATGAAAGAAAAGTTGGTTATTTACAGGAATTGTTAAACACAAGAAATCACTGGCTTTATCAATTGCTATATGTTGCACTAAGTAGAGCATTTTTGGCCCAACCAACATTATATTAATGTTTTAATGTTTAATGTTTAAAATAATTAACAATTATTTTCCAAAACTTATTTTACATTTCGGTGATATTGTGTGAGCACTGCTCCTGCGCTATAGCTAAATGTACTAGTCCATTTCGTGATGATTAATTTTTGGCATAACTTGTATCAAAAATAAATGATAATAAGCCCAAATTTGCTTCTCCTGACCCAAACAATACATATCGACTTATCATGCCTTTCAGGATAGATATTCGTGCTGGAGTGCCGTGTGGGCATTCGCGGTGACCTTCTGGGAAATTTTAAATTTCTGCTGTGAACGCCCGTTCGCAAACTTATCGAACGATAAGGTCATCCAGAATGCTGAGCATATGTACTACGGTGGCGAGCTACAGGTAACTTCCGATCTTCAAATTGGTTGCCTTGCTTTTAACTATTTTCTAAATTAAGGTACTTCTAAATAAGCCTCCCCATTGTTCCACGGACATCTACGACCTGTTGTGTTCCTGTTGGAGAAGAGATGACACCGACAGGCCAACCTTTAAAACGATTTATTCATTTTTGAAGCGAATCAATAAGGATTACATTCCCACGGACTGAAAGTAGCTTTAAGTTTTAGATAATAATAATTTTTTCGAAATTATTAAGGTAACGCCCGTCAAGATTTATAAAGAAAACTATTTCCATAAGTCTTATTTCCATTTTAATATTAAGAATGTAATTATATAAATATAGCAAATTTCAGAAATTCACAAAAGAATACATTGCCATGCTCGTTTGTCCTTTTTGACGGTTTTAAAGGAACCATTTCGCTGCCGCTTGCATATTTTTACTTCTTAGAGCCAAGGACCTGCGCCAACTACGCCTTAAAATCCCAACAAGCGATTTAAAACCACAGAAGAAGGAAAAGTAGGTGACCACGGACTTGCTATGACGTAATAGCTATCCAGTCTGGTTCGCCACTGTACTGTGGTAAATGGGCAAATGACCATAGTAGACTCAGCCTTGTGAAAATCGTATTTTCTCTCTATTCTGTCGTTTTTTAAGATTTAACCATACCTTTTTTTTACTTGTGGCATGTAACACATCTGAGATATGTTCCCCTAACAACAAAAGAAGAAGAGACGTTAGGATTTCCAAGTAAAATCAGTAAAATTTCCTAATGACCTGGGAATTCCGGTTTGTAAATTTTGGTTCCTATCTCTTTATTCGGTCTCTTGAAAGTTATGTGCATGCGTGTCGTTTCGAACATGTATATTTATCACTTACCTTACGATGAAAGGAGGAAATTGTGCCATATTTTGGATCAAGGCAACAAATGGGAAGAGCTCGCATTGAGGCATATGAAATACGACGAAGTTACAATACAAGGATTGAAAAAGGAAGTATTCAGAGGTAATTCATCGTCCAGCGAACTATTAACTATGTGGGGTTATCAGAATCACACCGTTTTGGAGCTGTTCATTCTTTTGGGCCGAATGGAGCTGTATTCGGCAATGTTATTAATAAAAAAGTTCGTCGAGAGTAAATACCACGTTTTAATAAAGGAAGACAACATCGATCTGGCAATGAAAAGGATGCACATTGTTGACTCGAAAATGGCCACCGAAAACTTTGACAAAAACACCATTAAAATGCTTGCAAAGGAGGTTTTGCCAATGGTTAGTAGAGATTCAAATGAGAGTTTTAAACTGGACAACATTCCAAAGCTACTAAAGCCCCAATTAAAAATCCCATCTGCCTCATCAAAAGTTCTCACAGCTTGCGTAGCCGAATCGGCTGGGGCCACTCCACAAATACCCTACGAAGAACTTGAAAAAGCCACCATGGGTTGGAACGTGGGTCATATTCTGGGTAAAGGGGGTTTTGGAACAGTTTTTAAAGGTAAACTATCTGTAACAATTCTATGTTTTTCCCACATGGTTGTGCATTATTGTTTTTAAAATTGCTATTTCCTTTTATATTATATTGAAACCTAATTCATTCTTTAGGAACTTGGAAGTGTACTCAAGTAGCAATAAAGCGCTTGGAAATAAAAAAGGATCGTCCGGAATACTACAACGAACAGTTGAAACAGTCTATAACAGAATTGCATTGTCTGAATGCTTACAGACATGACAACATTCTACCTCTGTACGGTTATAGTATCGGCGGTCAACACCCATGCCTCGTGTACCAATACATGGCAGGGGGATCGCTAGAAACGCGCTTACGCACGAGGGACCCCCGCAAAGTACTCAAATGGCCATCGCGACTAAATATTGCCACAGGCGTAGCGCGTGGACTCCAGTTTTTGCACACAACTTTAGCCCAAGATAAACCACTTGTTCATGGTGACATTAAGAGCGCGAACATACTTTTGGATCCCATGGATCAGCCGCGGATAGGTGATTTTGGCCTGGCTCGTGAGGGGCCCGAAAAGCACTACACCCACATTAAGGTAAGCCGGATATATGGCACCCGACCTTATTTACCAGACGAATTCTTGCGTGCCAAACAATTTTCCACTAAAGTGGATACCTATAGTTTTGGGGTAGTGTTATTTGAGCTGGGAACAGCTTTGCCCGCCTACAGCGACCAGCGGGAGTTAAAATTTTTAAAAGACCACGTCGACAAATACGAGGGGGACGTAACAGATTTGAAGGACCGCGGTGCTGAGGGTTACGATTTTTATTTCAAAGAGCTGATCAGGATAGGTAAGTTGTGTGTGCAGAAAAAGGCCAAAGATCGGCCGGAAATGGTTAGGGTGCTGATAATGTTGGAGGATGTGCAAAGCGCTGGATCTGACTCTGATGATAATAAACTAATTGAGTTTTTATAGCAGGGTTCTTGGCGATTAATGGTTCCTTTAAAAGCTGAGGCTCTACTAAAAATCGCGCTTCCATGTTTTCGTTGGTATCTGGGACAACAAAACGACTAAAAACTTAACAAAATAGGGGTGAAGTTAGAACCATAGATCAAAAAGAGTCGCTATGGAAACATCTGACCAATAAGGCAACCAGAGGACATGGCAGTATTTATCGATTTTTCTGTACAATTTGCACATGTTTCGTTTTTATGAAGTTGTTATAACAATATTAGAAGGTTATCATAATCAAAAATTTTATGTAATTCGTTATGTGAATATCTTAACTATACAAGCAATCATGGATATTATTCCTTATCTTTTAAACAAATTCAAATTTTTAATGCACATTTTTAACACTGGTTTTGAAGCTCTATAAATGGCGATGCAAAATATGTTACGGAAGAGTCATATTGTTTTTTTTTTTCATTTTTGGGCTGCAATCAACTTTTATTGAAGGGCTCTTAAACTTTTTTTATTTTCGCATTGTAATAGCACCGACATTAGGCATGTTAAGTTTCAAAATCGCAAAATAAATACAATTGCCTGCTTTGTTTGTTCTCTGGGTGCCATTGAACAGCTGAACAAGCTGAAAATGGCGATGCAAAATATGTTACGGAAGAGTCTTATTGTTTTTTTTTTTTCATTTTTGAGCTGCAATCAACTTTTATTGAAGGGCTCTTAAACTTTTTTTATTTTCGCATTGTAATAGCACCGACATTAGGCATGTTAAGTTTCAAAATCGCAAAATAAATACAATTGGCTACTTTGTTTGTCCTCTGGATGCCATTGAACAGCTGAACAAGCTGAACATGACTTTTGCATAGCTAGCTTCTCACTGATAACATGAGCTTGTATAACTTTTGTTAATCCCAGATATCTTCTGACAGTTTTATATATTTTTTTATCCCATATGAATAATCAACCCTGACCGCTAACATCACGCAAGACTATGTTTCAGACTACCATAAGCAAAGTTTCACTATAATAATGGCGAAGTGAAGGCAGTTGCTCAAAATGTATATTTTGCTATTCACGTTAGAAATGTCTTATGACTGTATTGCTGGAAAATGTTTTTCTGCGTATTTGTGTCAAGAGTTCAATTTTTATGCTCACTACATCCTTATATAATATGATATTACAGATGGCGCACTTTGTAATTTTAAATTTGAATGTGGTTAACATATCGTCGTCAAACGAATAGCCCGTCTTGGAGAACAATTAGCAAGTGATAAATCGCAACGTTGACCTAAGCTTGAAATTCGGGTTGCAAATGAGTGGACAACATTTCGCTCGCAACAAAACTGTCGCTATAAATATTGCTTTAATTCAATTTAAGTTACATTATATTGGAGAGTTTACATTTGCCCATAGCATGGTTTTTTAAATATATTTTCAACCGTTTTGTAATTAACGGCGCTGATTTATCCCTTTATGAGTTCTCCATTGGTGCATCAGCAGACAGACAATCAGTGTATAACTATTTGTTGATTGAAACTTCAGATTTTATATTGGTTGTTGATCTATGAATAAAGTCTGTCTAAATTCTAGAAAATCAGATGGATGTTGAAACGGCCCGCACCGCACATTTTAGCTGCATTATAGTTTTAAACAAATGTTTATTTGACGGTAATAGTGTATATATATGTATGTTCTTTCGATAAAAGTCAAGCTCCATATTTCAATGTATATAAATAATTGTAAATAGGCATCCTTGGTAGGTTGGACGTTTATTTTTTGTGCGTGTATTTCAAAAAACAAGATAAATTGAATTCATCACATATCAGAGTAATTGGACGTTTTGAAGGTTGCACTGTTCTAGTGAGAGCGTGAACCGAAAAAGGAAAACAAATATTCTGTGCTGGCTTTAAGTACTGAAAAAACTTCTCTGTAAATATGAAACGGCGAATAATCTAGTTGGGCTTGTTTATATAAAAAATTATTCAGAAGGAATATCAAGTGCAGTGTGATATAGACTTACATACGCCAAATCGAGGTTTATACAATTGGAATTTATCTTTATCGGTAGGAATTTTTCCTCAATTTTGGAACAAAATGCTGTGACACTCAAAACTGCGTCTCGCATTTTGTATAAAAACGGCAGCTGTGTGGTAACCGGAAAAAACTAGTTTGTTCAAGTGTAAACCAATGTCGGTAACCAAACAAGGGTAGTTACTGCCATTTCTGGCATGCCGCGAAGTTACATTGTTCTGTAATATATATTTTCGTTTCAAACAATATTTATTGCCTTAAAAGTCGAAATAACAATGCAATACAAATAACGCATGAAACTTGTTTAAACCAGGGAAGACGACGTCCATTAAATCGCCGATATAACTGCTTCTTTGGTTTACCGTCGTTGGGTGTAAACGTTATTTAAAACCCGGTTTCCATTTTATGTTTTATTTATAATGGTTTTTATGGGGAACGCCCTTGCTGACTTACTTTGATTTACTGCATGGTATACTCTAAAATTATTATGCAATGACGTTTTGTCGTGCTCGCCCTCCCGTATAGAACCGTCACTTGATGTTTATTGGCTGAGAACAAAGTTAGTTACTTGTCGAGGACGTGACGTTTAGACCTCTCGAGCATCCGAGAGAATGTCTCGGATGTTATTTAGTTCTCTTAATGCCGCCGTCAGGTGCCACTGCGGTTACGGCTACATATATGCGCGTGGATTAAGCTTGACACAGAGAAAACTAATAAAAAGGAGATATACATTTCCATCGCCGCCTTGAGCTCCTTTGGATGGCGGGAAATTTGAAACTATACAATAACTTCACTTTCAATTTGCCTTTGTTTTGTTGTTTTGGTCCATTTCCGCCCTAACATGACACGAACTAAACTTGTACACGTTCAAAAACACAGTCTAAAACAATAAATAAAATGGGTGTTTTAAAATTGGGGTAGTTTTCCTGTCTTCCGTGTCCATCACGAATTCATTCATATCAATCAATACACAACGTTCTGTCTTTGAACTACCCCAGCTTCTACGCAAGTCGTAACTAAATTTGCTCAAATCTGGGAAACTGAGTTGCGCTATAGGCACAGTATAATTATTATAGGCTACTCACACCCCATTTTTTCTTTTGCTAGATGTGTTTATTAGTAGACTTAGATTAGTTTAACAATTAATACGTCATCGCGCCAGAAGACGTTTTCGTGGAACGCCATATTTAATTGAAATTGAAATACTTTTTCCCCGAGTTTGACTTGAAAATTTTAACTCTCTTTTTGTTAGTTTTCTCTGTGGCTCAACATATATCGCGATATTATTCTTTTCTGTGATACAGCGACCATTCTTTTTTTTTTTCACATTTTTGTCCCTCATCGCAGCACATAGTTTAAAACGTAGGGCGTACGACTACTACGTAGCTTGACAAACATTTACTGTAAATACATACAAGATAGTTTGTACGGTGAAAAATAAAATAAAGCCGCAAAAAATCGCCGTTTCGTTTAAATGAAACCACCCCTTAAAAGATAAATATATATTTTCAACGTTTTTAATAAAACAAAAAAGAACCAGCCGACAGTTTCTCTCCCGACAAATTTGACACACGACTAAAATGCGCTCGCCATTCATCCAACAAACTTCTCCCGGCATGGATTAGCCAACTAAATAGTTAACAATTGACATTTAAGAATTTTGAGTTCAGCTTAACCAAAACTTTTGTTGCGTTTATTTTCTTGAGTTATTGTAAATTGTATAATCAAAGCAATAGGTCATATTATTAATGAATTATATAATGGGTATACTTTGTATACCCGATAAAATTTACGTTGGCTAATCCCGGCTTTACAAAAAAAAAAACGAAGCCCTAAACTAAGCTTATACGATATTGAGCAAAACATACTAGAACGCGCGCGAAAACAAAAATGTTTTTTCAAAACAAACACAAAACGGGAACCGTATTACTCATATACGTAAGCGAAACCGTGCGGCGGAAACGCAAAGATGTTGGCTCGAAAGTATCGCAGTCAAGGTCGCGGCGGACTAAGGTTAACGCACGCGCACACCCCGCCGTTCCGCGGCCTTTAAAAGTATTCGACGACCGACGCGGAAAGAGATTACGCGCGCCGACAGTTCCCGCCGCGCCCGCTCGCGGCAACAAACAACACTAAAATCGTCCGAGAATAATTATAATTAACGTTTTCGTTTCTTAAATATCGAATAAGCAGGGCGCGTGCGCGATCCAAGGACGACCGCGTCTCTCGATTAGCTAATCGAGGTTGCCGTGGAACGCAGCGAGTGACAGCTTTTTCAAAGGAACCCTCACGGGAGGCTTTAAATTGTAATAATAAAATTAAGATAATGAAGATACTTAGCAATGATGATATCTAGAATTGTTGTTGGAATCCTGTGCGTCAACTGAAATTCCGAAAATTGCGTTTGTGAAGATGATCTATAAGTCGAATAACTTTTATCCTAAAAGAACTTTTGACAATTGGGTGCGCAAAAACTGTCGCATGGGCAAGACACTGCCAAAAAAGGTTATAATGGCTCGATTTAGAAAGAGGAAAATAACAGTGAAGCAATAATTAGTAGACTTTCAGTCCAAACAAAGGGTCACAAACGAATTGAAATGGTACAAAAAGCGTTAAATTATGTAGTATTGGGAAGATTTGAAACAACTGCAATTTATAGTTAGCAAAAAATAGTTAAACCCAGCACGTGGTGCTGCGGCACAAACCATCTTATGAATGAAAACGTCTAATTTATTGAGAAAATATACACAATGATGTAACAACGTCGCAGTCCTGTGTAAGAAGGAGAATTAAAGCAAGCACAACTTCCGCAAAACGTTATTGCAGTAGTCAGGCAAACCAATACAAAATACCCAAGCACTCACAAGACTAAGAAATAGATGCAACATTATGTATTAGGCATATCTCAGGTGACGTTACATGACAAGTTGCAGTCATGCAAAGAAAGGCTCTGCAGACATGCTATGCTATCGGATCATAAATAAACAAGAGTTATTCGTCGCGCCGAGAAAAAAAAAGTTGCCACAATATTGAATGATGGTAATCGCGAAATGCACTCATCCTTGGAACGCCCACTTACAATTAGCTAAATTTACGTACTCTGCCTTAGGCGTAACAATAACCAGTACCTCCACCTAACCCTCGAAACGTGGTCGGTGTTTCTCGCGCAAATTTGCTGATGATTTCGGACGCTATAACAAAATTCGACCTAATTCTCTAAACCTCCGACTAGTGTCTCTCTAAAAATTTTTTTTAAATAACCTGTACAAAAACGTTAAAAATCTACTTTTTTTTCTCAAAAATTTCTATCGATCAGTCTTTGGTAACAGGGCGTCGTCGCACTCGAAAGAAATGCCTGTTTCGAAACCAAACCTCCGGAATCCACGCAACGCGACAAAAAGAACCAAGCAAACAATCTCTCTCTCACTCTCTCTCCCACAAAACGACCACTCTCAGCAGGCACGATCGTGGCCCAGGGTCGTCGGGCGATCTAAAACGATCACAGGCAATCAAAGAAAACAAACGGGGGCGCAATCTCAAATAATCTGCCGTACATTTTCAGAAAACGTACAATAAATAACATGGGGAGCATTCTCTCTATCTCTTTCTCTCTCAGTTATTGTTGGGAGACGTCTGACACAACGTCTGAACGATACTGTCGAACTCGTTCAGGTCAGACTCGAACGTATCCAGCTGCTTCTGGAGGTCTTGGCCCTCGAGCGGGGGCAAATCCTTGAACGTCTCCAATAGGGGCGCCTGCTGACACTCTCTGAAGAACTTGTCGAGTTCAAATTTCTCGCCCGACGGTTTTGCGAATGGCGTTTTCTGTAAAAAAAAGAACATTGGTTAGCCCATGCCTACAATTAATTTTCACGAAATGGACGAACACATATGGTTACTGACTTATTAAAGCACAACCGTTTAACATGAAGCATTAATAAGGAACTATCTTATTATTACTTAAATTGGCGGTAGCCATTTTCTTATTAAAAGATAATATCGAGCTAGACAGTGAATATCAGTTAGTTGTTTGCTACGTACAAAATAGTTGTTTTCGACTATCTCTATACGTCACAATTAAACGCCATTTTGATGATAGTTTTCACTTCGGCATCTAGTAAAGCGTAATATGTTTGGTTACATTACTGTTCCTAGGGTTTCTTCTAAGGTTCATTAGAAGATCCTGATAATTCGATTTTTCATTATCCACCTATTACAAAAACCGTTACCACAGGTCTACAAAAACAAACATGTTCTCTTTGCTGCAAGACAATTTGCCAGAAAACAATGACTAACAACTGTTGGCTCTTAAAAGGGTGAGGTTAAGTCGCCAATGACGAAGTGCTGTCGTCAGAATGTCTGCCCAACAAATTTCAAAGGTTGAACTAATTCAATGGTCCTCTTATTTGTGCCGATCACATCACGTAAGAATATCGAAACTGTCGTCGTGACATTTCTGGGGGAAAGTACGTATTCAACTTCATCATCATCCGCACAACCTCACCATATAAAGTTAAGTGCAGCAATTAGTTCGTCGAAGTAGTGGCGAAAGGTCGAACGTGATCAGATCAGTTTAATTCGAATTACCAGTTTTAGATACTCGAGGCAATCATAACAAATGCATTTTCAATTATTTGTTGAATATTGTTTCACGTTCGCCATGTTGCCAGTGACGAAATTTTTGTATCGTCCGAGATTTCACGCACAGCTACACATCTGTCATTAGTTAGTTACCAATAAAAACGGTCGAAAAATATTCACCGGTTTTTCAAATTAATATTTTACTGGAAAAGCGCTAAATGACATTTTAATATTTTCCGAACGCAAAACTCGTAAATTGTTCTTGAAAAATTGGACACCGATTTCAACGAAAACAACATTTATTTTGGCAAACAACGTTTAAACAAATCTTATCCGTTGTCGTCCAAGGCAACCTCACATATTTATTTAGAACATATCGTACAAAATATAGTAGTTAATCGTGATTTTGGTTTTATGCAAGGCCGACATTTGCACAACAACTAAAATAGACGTTTGGCGATGTCATTGACTTGCACAACAAACGATTTTATTTTGCTTCTAATGAACAATAAGATTTGTTAAAAATAAAGTAAAATAAAAATACATGAAGAATGAAAAACTTTTACCACGCATTTTACAGAAAAGCCTTTATTTGGGATGGGTTTAAACATTTTTGATAGGAAAATCACAAAATGTTCGAGATTTGGGACATCGACCGATTATAGTTCATCTGAACTAGTTTTAAACGAAAACAACATTTCAACGAATTTCCGTTGTCGCTCAAGGCGAAGCGACATATTTATTTAGAACACATCATGCAAAATATCGTTAATTGGGATTTTATTTTTACGCAAGGTCGATATGTCCACAATATAACTACATTAGGCGTTTCAATGTCATATCGAACAAACGATTTGATTTTGTTTCTTCCGGCACAAGGTAGATAAAGGTGTACTACTAAAACGGCTAAAATATTATGTTATTGTGTGTAATTTTGCCAAATTCTAGTTTATAACTTTTTCGCCTCTATATTATGACCCCTTCGAATTTTGGATCTCAAGTTACCATGTCCAAATTTCAAATATCATATAACTCAAACGGGTGTTATTAGTACAGACCTGCTTTTTTCACATTTTTTTATGCCAGTAGTTATACATAATATGTCTTTGTCTCTTATCTGAAATTAGGTTTTAAATTTTATGATTTTATGATGGCTATTTAAGTGTCAAAACGTCGTAAAACATGTTTCACTTTACGTCACTTTAAAAGGAACGATAAGTTGATTACGGTAGAGAAAATTGAAAAAAATTTTCAATTTAAACAACTGTGCCTCGAAATTTACCAATTAATCGACCAAAGAGCTTTTTAGACCCGTTGTCCGATGTGAGACCCACTTACGCAATTAAAGGTTAGTGTGGAAGATTAGGTAAAAGGTTAAGGAAAACAAAATAATTTTACAGCAAATGGCAGCCTCGGTCGATACATTCATTTGCGTTAGTAAGGCATATTGTCACACTCAAAGCAGCGGATTGATTAGGATTTTGTTTGTTTACGCGACCTTGCAGTTATTACATAATGCGCCCCCTCCCCACTCCACAAAATAAGCAGGCGACCTTGCCTCAGACTCAACGGAGAGAAAATGCATCGGCAGGGCGACAAATATTGATCAATCCAAAAAACGCGCCTCAGCTAAAAATACACGTAGTCAATATTTGCCTAACTATACCCGACACGTACCTCAAATGTTTCGATAGATGCGCTGCTTCAAAGGAAAAAAATATATCGACACAAAACAATGCGTTATTGTGACCAAACACGATAACACGCGATTAGTTTCAGATAACCAATTTGGCGCCAATATATCGATAGAATTTATGTAGTACTTGCCACATATATACGGAGTGTTTTCTCAAGTACCAAACTATAAAAGGTGAATTGTTGAGCTATCTTAAGAGATCAACCTTATAGGCTTGGCAAGTTCGACCAGACGTATTGTAACACCACACAAATATGATTCTGTTTGGTGTTATTGCATTGTCTTACTCAACTACGGCAAATTTAATTTGACAATCTTTGAATGAATCCCTGTTCCAAAAACTGGGGTCTACGTCAGCGGCGGCGCGTGGTTCCATATTTAGGGGGTGCACAACGTAAAATCAAAAAATTGGCGGCCACGCGACGACGCCGAAAAATTTTTTTGCGTTATTCAAAGGCCAATCAATAATAGAAAACTATATCTCAATTAAAAAAATAATAATAAATAACTTACCCTGCTGTCACCGATGAGTACTAACTTTGGCCTCGCAAAAAAAAATGTTTTTATGTACATAAGTAATAGTTTTTATCAAAGATTTTGTATTTCACAAACACGTTTTAAATTGAAAATCAATACGTCTGTCCTTCTTCGAGATAAATTCTTCAATCACTAATTCATTAAAATTTGGAATTTCTTGAATCATTTGTTTCTCAATGGATAACATTGCGAGGGCAGTCAACCTATTTTCACCCATTGTACTTCTAAGAAAAGTTTTAATTCTTTTTAATGTGGAGAAACAACGTTCCGCTTCTGCAGTTGTCATTGGCATCGTAACAATTGCTTGTAGTACTGAAAAAGTCTCTGAGAAATCTGTTTGCAAATTATTTTCAACTAAAAATTTAAGTAGGTGGACTGCTCCTGAAACTTCTCTAAAATCTGATCTTTTGTAGATTATTTCCAGTTCCGTCTTCAATTTATCTTTGTTCAGAAAAGAAAAATTCATAATTGCTGAATTTAAGTGTTTGGTGGGAAAATTAGTTGAAAATATCTCGAAATTTTCAACTGAAAATAAGTGCGCTACTTCCAAATGGCCAGTGAATGAATAGAATGAATATCTTCTTTTGATTTCTGCAAGTATAGTATCACATACTTCCTTGGCTTGCACAATCGTAGAAACATAAGAATGCCTCTCTTCTGTCTTTCTTCTTTTTCTAGTTTGACTTTCATCCATGTTTGCTAATTCAATTTCCTTTATGGTGTGAATTGTCTCCCGTTCTTTCTGTATATTTTTTTCAAATTCATTAATACATCTTTTTACGGTTACCGAATCAGTTGATCTTTTTTGCAGTTGGGAATATAAAATATTGACGTGAGGCATTATTCGATGAAAAACGGATAACCAAAAAATAAACTTAGGATCATACAATAATCTTAAAAGTGCGCCTGCCTTCGTGATTGTATCGGATTGTCTGGATGTGGATTGTATTTTTTCCATACATTCTATAAGTGCCTTCCGGTTTTCATATACGGTATTCACAGTTCTAATTTTGAAGTTCCACCTGGTAGCAGATGCACTTGGAACTCTATTTCCAACCACTTCATCCAGTATCGCAACTCTTTGTGGTGAATTTGAAAAAAAATTAGTAATGTCACTAAGTTCGGCAAAAAAAATGCGTGCATTTGTATTTATGCTTGTTGCCTGAGACATTATTAAATTTAACTGGTGTGCATAGCAGTGGATGTAATGAGCGTATTTAAATTTATTTTTAATAAGTTTTTGAACACCACCTTGAGCGCCACTCATGACGCTTGCTCCATCATAACTTTGGGAAATTAATTGATCCGGATTTTTTAAAACATAATTTAACGCTTCATCTATGCAGCCAGCTAAGGCAACAGCATCATGTTCATTTGGTTTTACAAATGTCCAAAATCTCTCAACGGGGCTGCCATTCGGTAATGTATAACGGAAAACTATAACCATTTGAAAAATATTTGAAATATCACTGGTTTCGTCACTCATAATAGATACAAATTTTGATGCCGCAATTTCTTTTTTGATATGTGCCTGACAAACAGAGAGCATACATTCCAATAAATCGTTCTGAATGTCTTTTGATGTTCCTTTAAATATGGTGGCTTGCTGCAAATGATCCCTCAGTGCTATATCCAGTTCAGCAGAAAAATTAATGAGTCCCCTAAATATACCAGGGTTTACAGAATCTTCTTTTTCGCGATGTCCGCGGAGGGCAAGTTCAAACGCACCACAAAATTTTACACAGTTTATAATTTTTGATAAAACATATCTATTATTTTTTACTTGGACATTATGTTTTTCTATGCTTAAACGATAGACACTATTTAATTGCTGTCTAATATCTTGTTTTCCCAATAAATTAAATCCTAATTTGGCAGATAAGTGTGATTTAGAATTCTGATGTTTTTTAATTTTTTCGGATAAATGAACTAAATCTTTTACTCCGGATTTTGTCCATTCTGATGGATCTGATGCCTGATCGCTTGAAAATAATAAGCATGGAAAACAGTAGAGACTATTACTCACATCACACCCGCACAACCAGTCAGTTTTTTCATACATTTCTATTTTAAAAGTACGTTTATATTCTCGATTTTTGCATTTAGTTGTATTAATAATTAACACATTCGGTTTGGGACGTCCAACACTTTTAATTTTAATTTTTTCTTCCAATGGAAGAGAAGAAAATTTAATTGTCTTTAAATATTGCACGTTATAATTGTCCGTCATTTTAACAGAGTTTTAAAACTATTTTTCGAATACTAATTTTCAACACGCACGCGTCATCGGCTATTATATTTGCAAACGCGAACTACAAGTGCACTCATTACGTGTGCACACGGGCCAGCTTAGATGGGTAGACCGCCGCGGGAAACAAAGAGTGCGGGCGGCGGATGATTGACCAATCAGATCTATTAGTTCCATGAGCAGTGAACGAAGCATTTTACGATCGGCGGAATCGGCTGCTGGCAAAGGGGGTTTGGAGTTTTGTTTATAAAATGATTTATACCGGCGCGGCGGTCGCGGTGACGGCCGATAAGAAATTCCTAGTTTTTTATGTATTAATTTCAATTTTATGAATTTTGATGAATCGTTTTTTTTTATAAATAGGATTAAGAGAATTGTAGGATATAATTACATAAATAATTTTTTTTCCGAGCGGGCATTAAATTTGGGGGTGCACGTGCACATGTGCACTTATGGAGGAACCGCCTCTAGTCTACGTGGAGACCGAAGCGAGTTCACAGATGCCGCTTCTCGGAAAGACCCCCTCGAATGTTCCTCGTATAAAACTGTTGCGTCGCGCTCGCTAGTCAGTTAGTTTAAAACCGGAACCAGAACGTGCAAATATAAAAACTTGACGGGTATAAACGGAGACGTTATATAAATTATTAGTAATGTGTTCAGTGAGTAGTAACGTATGAATAGTTAGTGACTCCGTCATTTTTTACGAAATAAATAAGTTTTACGCGGAGTCGCGTTGCACAAACCCAAACTATTTTTATCAAATATAAAACGCAACACTACGCTTCGGGGAAAATGTTGTAAAAGTTTATCACAGCATCTACGTCCTAAAAACCCTCTTTTACACATCATCTCGAACTGAGGAGATTACATAACATATTATTTCAAATGGGAAGTCCTTTTACCAGCCCAGTATTCTGCTTTTAAATAGAATAAAATTCAACTTAAATGGCAAATTGTCCTTCTATAGCCAGTTTATTTTTAGAGAAAGTAGCCCTTTTGTTTTGATACTGACTTGGCTTTATATTTCAATGAGACCTCTGGCGGAAAAAATATTAAGCTACTTCGGGGATAAACTTTTGAGTGGCGACATAATTTTCATGGTTGCGTTGTATAGCTTAGGATATTGCTTTAAAAAATAATGTTCGCTTTTATCGTTAACCCAATTAACATGACATTGTTTTGCATTACACACATTACACCTTAAATACGAAAAAAATGTTTTGTCATTTTCCACAAACCACACACCACAAAAACTGATAACGGAGTCAACAATAATGCTTTAGTGTCGCTTACGCAATGCAAGGTTCAAAGGTAACATTATGAAATACGTCCAAACCGTCACGTTTATTTACTGTTACCAACGCCACCGTCGCAGAATAAATTTTACCATAACAATGAATTATCAAGCGGCAACGTCAGAAAATTCAGGAATACAATGAAGGGTAAAAATTACCTTATTGACATTTGTCAAATTTTGGGGACGTCAAATTTTAATTTTTAATTTAATTTATTGTTGGACTTTTCCGAGCCGCGTGATATTATCCCGCTATCTGTTGCTAAAACAAAAAAATACCTTCTAATCGACCTTGCGGTTCCAACAAAAGATTTCGTAATAGCAAATATCGAAAACAGGTAAAATTTCGACAACCTTGTGGTTTGGACGACGGTAATAGACGTGGCATGTCCGAATTTTCGCAAAAATAAATTAGTACCTATTACGAACGTTAGCGATGTTAGGTACTTAATTTGGAACCTTTGGACTCTGCTATAATAAAGGTTGCCGCACACGCGTGTGTGACCGCACCAAAACCTAACCTAGTCCAAGGTCGAGAAAACAGGGGCGCCGGCTAATCTGGGAATTCCGGGAAATTACCGCCATTATAGTAATTGCCGTGGCATTTTTACATTATAAATAACCCAAAGGCGGCCTTTAAATATTAAAACGGTTGGCGCCGATCATTTTGCCGATTGCACTTTACATTATGCACGGCGAATGTTCGTAGCGAACTTTGGAATCACCATTTAGCAATTAATTGGCGAATGTATCTGATGTTGACGGGACATTTTTTTACTACTATATTGTCTCGTAGGAAACACTATACTTAAAAAAATTATTACTTTCACAAAATTGACGAAATCGGATTTGTCACTTGACATATCCAACGACGAAGAAGTTGAGAATGCGGTCGATAATAATGGTTGATGATGAACATCCGTCAAATTCAAATATATCAAAGGCGCGGGCACATTCGTCGCTTGCTGGCAAAATCATAATTTTAAATGTGCTTCTGTATCATTTTGATGTAGAATAACTTTTTTTTTAATAAATATTTTTATGACTAAATTGACTCCTTCATTTATATTTAAAATACATATTTTAAAGTAAGACTTGATTTTCCATTGCACGGATTAATAATAATCGACGAAACTCTCCACAAAGACGTCAGCTTTCAACTAACCAAAAGTAAATACGGGATTATGTGGTAAAAACGGTACATCGTTAGGCGAAATCTACCACGACGTTTTTCTGATATCTACAGGGATGCTATTTTCTAAACAGGAAAGTTCACTTTAAAAAAAAAAATTGAACAAAATTTTTTCGGATTCGACAAAAGTTCCGGGGTCCGCGATATTTTTTCAACTAAAATGTACAGAGTGTGTCGGTTGAGGGCGCAGAAACCCGAAGACCCTGAAAATTATTAGTCGCAACTGAAAAACCGCGTGAAATAGGGCAATTTGGTATAAACAACTGGCACATTCTATAAAGGGTGTGCGAAATGTTGGACAAAATCCAAGAAGAATATTTTCATATTTTTTACAGTTTGACTTTGAATGTTGGATAAAGTGTTTATTTGAAAGTAGCTTACGATGATTTGCGAAAATGCTATAGCAATATTATCCCAATTTGAAATCCACGAGTCTTATTAATCTCCATCCGAATTTGACTTATCTTAACGATCCTTTTAAAACACTGTCGTTTATTACAACTTTTGCAGTCTCATTTTGTTGACAAAAATTCTAATTTTACACTAAATGGTATTTTCGTTGTCCCAATTCCGGTTTAAAATTAAACGCGTTATCTCGCAAATAATTAATATATTTTCGTATTACTGTTTTAAATGGCATCTTTCTTAAACAAAAAAACTTAATCAGCGTCAATTTTCGATAAACCCTTTTTGTGTCAGGTTAATTTGTTGTTTTTTTCTTTCACTGCGATCGAGGTTATTTTATGACCAATGGACGCGTGCACTCCAAACCGCTTGGCAACCGCAGAGTGCCAAAAGGACGTCGAAAAAATAATGGCGCCGGCGCAAACGTCAATCACGCGGCCCAGAAACGAGACGAGATTATTTATGGACCGAACGGGACATTTCGGCCGTTTTTTGCCGAGCCGCCGTATATATAAAAAAAAGGATAACCTTGAACTTGTTTGTGCCGCCATTGAAGATGTTATTTAAGTAACGCCGATACCGCGCGCCGCTTACGTAATGTTTTTCGTCTTTGTGACGCCCGACACTTATTATTGCTAACAATCGAAGAGAGTGGAATTTTCCGATTTAAATAAACGATCCGCTATCTGTGGGTTGATTTTTTTTGGTAAATTTTCTAGGGCAAATAGAATATAACGATTAGCTAAACACAAAGATGTGTACAAAAGCGTCTCCTTCAATAAACATTGTATCGGAAACAAATATGAAGTAAAAATATTCGAAATTTAAATTGTGTAGTTCACTTCCACCTATAAGAAGAAAATGAATTAAAGCCTTACTCGATTTCTCATTTTTTAAAAAAACTTTTCTCACGAAAACTTTAAAAATGAATAAAAACTCTTATTTTTAAATACAAAAACGTATTTTCGAGGGTTAATGTATGAATGAACCATACACGTTTTTTTTTTTGGTCAGCTTACTGTCAAAATCACAGGACAATCATAGATAATTGGTGCAAAGGAAAAGTTAAATTAATAAATCAAAGTTGTATAAAATCCATAATTTTTCAAAGCAGGCATAAAATTATATTTTTAAAATCTAAAAAATTTAATTAGAAATTTCGATAATTAAAATAAGTTGAGAAAAATCACAATTAGAGCCAAAAAGTTTGTTGAATTACAATTTCTTTAATATTACTAGAATTATGCTTACCAACTGTCAAAATTTTTTTTATACGAAATCCACAAGTAATTTGAAAATAATTATTTAATTACATTTTTTATTTATTTAATTGGAAGTGCTGAAAAATCTAACAAAACTTTAGAAATATGTTATGATTTTAGAAAGATTTTACGGATTTCACAGGTAATAATAAAGATGTCACGGATTTCATAAATCTGGAACACCAAATTTCACGCGTGATTTACCCCTCCCTGGAAATTTGGCAACATAGGACATATACCTCGGGAATAATAAAATCTTCCTGGGGAGTAAAATTTTTCCTTTTTTCGATAATACCTACACAGATATCGAAACTTCTGGGGCGAATCTAACCTCGACCGTCATCTATCATTCGCGAAACCGCGAAGCTTGCGATCCGTTTTACATTACGCGGTATTAGTGGCGATTAATCCCCCGAAAGAAAAAAAAGCCCGCCGAGCATGCATCCAAAGCGCAAACCAGGCCAAAATAAATTTACCAAGTCTACCATAATGAAGTCGTCGTTTGTCGAGACCATCGTAATGCCATCCGACGCGACGTTGCCGTTCCTCTCCTCCGACGAAGAAGACCTTCGACCGTTTTCTACGCCGCCGTTGACCTGGACGTCGGTACCGTTGCCGAGCCGATCAGCCTGGAGGTTGTTCGGCTCGTCGTCGGGGTTGTGCTCGTTCAGGGATATCTTGTCGGCGAAGAATGTGCAGAACGGCAAATCGAGCTGGGGCTCGTCGAAGTGTTTCTTCTTTTTGTCGGCGAACGCGCCGATCTTCATCGTCTCGCTGAGCGACGACGCCCTGTCGTCACTGGAAAATACAAACATCGTTACACTAGGCGTCATTGGCATTGGCAAAAGTTTACTAAAAGTATTTATATCCTATATATTATGGTCACTATTTATTATATGTAAAGTCACAATCGGTATAAATTAAAACACAAATTTAAACCGCTTGATGCAGCTCCGTGAACGTCACGGCCACTGTAATTTTATGTCTCAAAATATTACAGCTCCGTATAGGTCACAGTTAATATACAAATATAATTTTCCAAATATTTTAAGTTCGTACCTGTCACGTTGGATGGTAGATTATTGCCATTCTCGGAATTTGCGTTTGCTTATGCTAAGACTAGAGCCAGATGTTTATGACATTATCATTCTAAAAGCCTTAAGGAAAGATCCGGGCAAGCTGTAAGAATGAAATATGGCCGAACAGGTCCGTACTTTGCTTAGAATTTAATTATTTGGGGTTTTGTTAGGAAATATACTAAACAATATTTATTTATTTATGTATGTATTTATGTTCAAATCTAAAATAAAATTACAAATTATTTTTATTACCAACTTAAATTACTTAAAATTTCTCACATAATATATCGGTATCACTATCGCTATCATCGCCTGTTCTAATCATTATTTGTTCTATATTATTTGCAATATGGATATACGATTGTTCTGCTTTTTCTATATGTTTCTGTATGTCTATATGTTTGCGCAACTTTGTGGAGGGATGTTAAAAAATTCGGTTTCTATAAGTCTGAGGAAATTGGCGTCAACACGGGGAAAAACATTGTTACGGCGAATGGCAGATTTCAGTTCGTGCCAAACATATTCAATGAGATTAAATATACAGTGGTAAGGTGGAAGGAAGCCTTAAAACTGTATGCCCTAGATTTTTTGCATAATTATCACAGACGTATTCGTTTTGTAAGTTCAAGCTTTGTAGAACCTCAATTAATTGCTTTTTGGTATAATCTTCGTGAAAATAAATGTTATTATACATGTAGTTTTGGATTGTTGCTTCTGTGTCACAAGAGGAAGGGGTTTTAGTCAACTGTATACTGTGATAACTTGCATTGTCCATTACAATTACGCTATTAGGAGGAATTTTTGGAACTAGTTTGTTTTTAAACCAACTTTCAAATAAATCAGCGGGGGTGTCTTCATGGTAATCCAGAGAAGAATCTTTAATATTTTTTGCAGACAGAAAAAATCCATTTGGAATCCAACCATCTTTAGAGCCAGCATGCAAAATTCTTTTACCTCTTTTTGATGGCGCGTTTATTTTACACTTATCAGTTGAGTCAACCCAACGCTTTGCCGGGGTATCATAAGTGTCGAACCAGGTTTCATCCAAGTAAATAATTGGCCTTTGTTGTTCTCTGTAAATCCTATTTTTTCTAGATATTCCAGTAGCCATTTCCGAATTCTAAAAGATTCCATTAAAACTTGCCTTTTGTCATTTTTTTTAAATCTAAGTGTTGAATACACTTCTATAAGGTAGTTCTGCCACATTTAAAACCGGTTGCATCTTTTTCAAGCCTCCTAATTAAGATATCTAATGTAGGCACGGTTTGTTCCTCGTATAACTGGTAAATTTTACGCCGTATTATATCTTCATCACTTTTATCTACACTCGAGAAAATGTCAGCGTCGCTTCTTTTTTTCCTCGCTGAAATGGAATTATTCACAATTTTCCATACAGTTGATGTTGGAATTTTCGTCATTGTGGCAGTTTCTTCTAAAGATGATTGCTTGCTGGCACCACGTTCAATGGGAGTCAAATAAACATTGTTTATAACTTCCTTAGTCTCAATAGAATAGTGTTTTCTACATTTGGGATACACTAGACTCGCACATATTTTGCATAATTCGCACACGATAAAATCAACATGCTTTGCGAATCCAAAACAGAGTATTTGTATTCGTTTATTATTTAAACTGGAGAAGGAACTATCATATCCCAAAAATATAAAGATAAGCCTATGACTTCACAGGTCGTATTGTCGTTAGACCGACAATTATTACGCGTCCCCACAACTAGCAGATTTCCTTGTATCCAAACAGACTGATTTATGTGGTACACTGCGGTTCGTTCAGATTTACCACGGAAACTTGTGACTAAAAAAACTAAAAAAGGGAAGAAAAGAAGTCATGGTAACGAAGTGGCATTAAAACAAGAAAGAAATTTGTCCCTTGTCGACAATTCACAATCCCGAAAATGTCCTAACTGCGAGGAAAGATAAAGGAGAACCTAAATTAGTTGTGAACTACAATAACACCATGGCGTCGATAGAATAGAATAGAATAGAACTAAAAAACGGGGGAAAAGATATTATAAAAAAATATTTATGTATTTATTTGATTTTGTTATTTTGAACTCTTTTATTTTGTACAAAAAGAATGGAGGAGCGTTGGATAATTTGGAAAACAGAACAAAACTTACAGAAGAAATGATAGAAAAATTTCACTTTAGTACAAACGTGAAGAAGGCAGGGCGACAAAGACATATGGGATCATTACGACTAAAGGAAAATTTTCCTGATTTTATTTCTCCAAATGAAAAAAAAAGCTGTACCTTATACAAATTGTGCAGTATGTTGTTCAAGAAAAGACAGCACGGGCAAAAAATTATAACAAAAACAAAATATTGGTGCAGTGAGTGTGACGTTGGTGCTTAGTACCTTGTTTTAATTTTTTTTTTGCATAAATTAGTTAAAATAAGCATAAATAATAATTATTTGCAAAAAAAATAAATGATTTATTTTTATACCTGAATTGATTAAAAAAAAAGTGCATTAAGGACTTAAATGTAAGCAGAAAAATAAATGGACGTTTAACTAGTTTTAAATAGCCTATGTGTAATATGTCACAGGATGCGTACGATATGTCTATCTATGTCTATGCCCCAATCAAAGGCTCTTTCTTCATGGTGTTCATTGTGGTTGTTGTAGCATCCTTCGGCCATGAAATAGTATTATGGGGACGTTAGTTGGTCTCTCGACATAAACTGTCCTCTACGAATAACGTGGCACTTATACGGAGGTCTTTGTGGACAACTCGCAATGGCCCTCATGGACTTTGGAGGGATTTCGTGAACGATCTCTTGCACTTGTTGGACAAAGTGTGTATTTCTAGTAATGGCCGAATGGCCGCAAAAGACATGGGCCGACTGACCCATGCCTTTTGCGTTTTGGCACAGTTTCTACATCGCCAGATGCTTCTAATTTTCTAAATCGGTTTGTTTCGCGCATCTAGCGACGATAACTGCATCTCTCTTCATTTCTTGCTTTACTTTATAGTCCTCGATTGATGATCTAAGAAAAAAAATGTTCTCCATAAATTACCCATCCCGTATATATGTATATGTTTATTTTATGTTTCAATTTCTTTGATAGGAAAAGTTTTCAAAATATCTTTGTCCAACTCAACTGTCGTAAATCAAATAGATCTGTTTCTTTATAAAGTTTATCACTACAGTAGAAAATATGCTTGTCATAAATTATTTTTAATAGTCATTTTTGGACTACTTTTAAGGGGGTGAATTAAAAAAAAAACTTTTTTAACCCTTAGCTTATCTTAGAATAAAATCCAAGGTGGTGTAATTGTTATCGCTAAACCGCCAAGTACTGACCGCCATAACATCAAAAATTTTTGACTAAACGATTTGAAAGAAACCTTTATTCAATAGGCGTCGAAAATTGGCAAAAATTGTATAGTAATAATTTCCCCATAGTCGAGGTAGATCACCCTGTATTTAAAGTTTATTACTTATGAAAATTCTAAGAAACAAATTAAAATACATTCTTCGTATAATGAATATTATGTAAGTACAACTTAAAAAACATTTTTTTTATACACTTAGTTAACCTGCGACACAATCCGTGAACAAATAACATTATTTCTAAGTAATTCATTACTGAGGTTTGACGCACGTAACGACAACTATACAAAAGTATTACTCAACATGTCCCGAAAATCGCAATCAGAAGTTGACAGAAGAAATAGTTCCCCAAATCAAACGCAAATATACATAAAATGCGATGATAGTAGAATATTTACTGATCAAAAACCCCTTGAAACATTGTGTTTCAAGTGCTTTCGACAACTTCAAACCATGTGATATAATAACAGAGGTTTGATAATCTCACGTAACTACCAAAAATGTATTTACCTAGCATTAAGTAGTAGTGAACATTGTAAACTCATCAGATGTTGCTTTAAATAAAAGAAAAATGCGCAGCTTTTATTAATTTATTTGCACGGGAAACTCGCAAATTGGCTGCCTCCAACAAAAAATTATTGAAAAAAATAATCAATGTTACGACCGAAACATGTATGTCGTATAATTATGACACTAATTGCTTTTAGAATAGATTATTATTTATCACAGCTTACGTTTTGTAATCACAACAAGATTCATCGGCCACGCGCAAACAAAAGATTTAGATTGGTGATTGGTGATTAATGTCATCTCAAACACAATGATTGAAATTTTAAGTTTTTCAAAAACAAAATCGTCTGCTTTCTGCGAAGCAGAGAATAAAATAGCATGCTTTTCACAGAAAGAGTTTCACACCAAAATTAAAGAAAACAGTTTCATAAACATCATTTTCAATTACGGACACTCGCAGTTTTGTCCGCTTGTCGGAAGTGTCCGTTTAAAGAACTAAGGACTTATAAGGAACATAAATCGATGTCATATATACGTGTAATATAGTTTTGAAAAGCTAAGAACAAGCCCAATAAAGTTATTAAAAAACGCAAAAAACTGACTACTTAAAAGACACTATCCATACCAGTTTTCACCGTTCCGATAAGTTAACTCATAACTGAACTCGAAAATGGATATCCAAAAATGCAACATTTTCAAAATGCAAAAATCAAAGACAGCTATGACATTTCTCTTTGTACCACCTTTCATTTCCTAAAAAAGTAGCCTTGAGTCACGAAAGCTTTATTATTATACGCCGTAGAACCATCGAAACATCTTTAGTCTATATTAAAACATTCCTTTTTTGATATGCT